CATCATCGGCGGCGCGAACATCGAACGTCAAGTTCAAGTTTGTGGCGCAGGTTTTTGTATTTGTATTTGTATTTGTATTTGTATTTGTGGTTTTTTTTATTGTTTTTCTAGACCACTTTCATTTTGTTAATCAAAATCGTACAAAAGCACAAAAGCAGCGAACAAAAACAGTAACAAAAGACCATTTCAATAAATAGATGCAAACTGTGGCTAAACAAACGTCAGACATGCCAGCCAAACAAAAGACTGAAGACGCAAACCTGCCCATTAAAACAAATGCATGAAGGCGCTTTCCTGTTTGGATTTGGCTTTATTAAGTGTTTCGTATCAATCCTGCACTTTTATGCCAAAAAGATTGAAAAAGAGATTTGTTAATTTTGTTTTTTAAATTAACTATATATTTAAAAAAACAAAAATAACAAATCCATTAATAGTATTTATTTCGTAAAACAATTAAGTGATTCGGCATACAGCTAAATAGACTTCCCACTTTATGCATAACATATGGAATCGTATATAGAACTATAATATCTTGCATCTATAGCTCACTTTTCAGCAGTTGTTGGGGATGTATTAATTTTTATAGGAATATATATAAAACACTCATAAAATTGCTTTTCAAAAAATATAAAAAATATTTAAAATAATAAAATATTATGAAAAATTCCAAAACCTCTTTAACTCATCAAGCAATAAAGTGTTCCTTAAGCTTCTATGGAACTTTATAAATCACAAGTCAACACTTCAATAATTCATATGCTCATTAAGAATCGTTTAGGCAAAGAAACATCACAAAATATGAAATAAACATGAATCTAATTAATTATAAGCTTATCTATGATTAACATTTTAATTTAATAAATAATAACGCATCATTAAGATTCGTAAAATTCGTAAAATCCCATCATCAAAAAAACACCTAGTCATAATCAAATTCAATTTTAACCTGAAATCTAGTGTGGAATAAAAAATTGCAGCGCTTTTTGACAAATTAATTACTTAAATTTAATGTCCACACTCAAACCAGAGTACAAAATTAAATGATAAACCACCCCACTCCTCATATATGCTGCGTTCGTTACTCTGACGCAAGTCCTCATCGAACTGGTTTATCAGAAAGAAGCAGCTGATCTGAGGTTTTATGAATTTATTACGTCTCTAATGAACAGCTAGCTGCCAACTATTTAGAAGTTTGTCTCTGCCTGATTCTATGCACCATTTATATGCAGTAATGTGGGCGAGCATTTGCATAAGATCTCCATCGGGGCTATTAGCAAATTTTCCAAGTTTCAAATCGAACTGCTTAGCAAATTTGTTTAATTTATGCCTGTGGTGTGGTCTCGGACACAAAGGCTGCTAAAAAGCCAAGTAAAAGTGAACGAGTTCTAAGACAAACAACCAAATATAAAGAACTTCACAAACTGGCTTAATATTTTTTTATTTGTTGACTAAACTTAATGATCAGAACATTCAATGCCAACATTTTAAATTTGGTGACATCTTTTGAAATATATATATCGATTATATAATACGTATAAGAACTGCATAACTTACGAAATGTTCTTGTTATGGATACCATTCTCCAGACGAAGCTTAAATACCCTTACAAAAAAACAAAAGCTGAAGCCAATTCTAAGTAAATTTGAGCTCTGAAGTCGAAAAACGTAACAGTTCATGAACAACAGTGTATTTTGTTTTTATTTTTATCATAGTGCACCAAATTAGATAATTGTTCGGCTTCTTAATGTGATGCACTATAATAAATTAAGTCATATAAATTTTAATTACCTTAAGAAACATTAAAATTTAAGTTATTTTTAAAAACTAAAATATATCCAAGCTTCTTTGCTTTGAAATGGAATTAATTTAGATAAAGGCCTTTGATATATACTTAGCGGTTTTATGATGAAGTTAACACAAAATTAACGCTTTAATGCAAAATTTAAAAAAGCTACTTATAAATTATTATCTCTTAACAGAATAATCTCCCTCTCTCTGTCTACTCCATAAAAATCGTTCTCTATAAATATCTCTGAGAAAATCTTTGACTGGCAACAAATTTTTTCCCACTGAGTTTCCTTTCGTTATATTTAATAAATATACATAAATAGCTAGTAATTATGATTAAGTTTCTCTCTTCTACTTACTACTTTTAGGTAACTTTATTAAGTCTGTTGGTCTTGGTTGCGATACAGCTGACCAAAGGCTAAATAATCGAGGGCATTATTATGAGTTGCTCTTATCTTAAAAGTTGAAATTAAAACCTTCTGAAAACCTATTATATAGATAGATCATATTGGTGGTTGAAATAATTAATAAATAAAATATACTGCAATTTAAGTATATCACTAATTTCAAACTCACATCAAGTTCTATTTTAATCCACAAATGTTACAATATATTTTAAAAAGTAATTTAATTTATATAACCAAACAACTCCTCTATGAATAAGAACTTTTTAGAAAATGTTGTTGATAAAAGCCATTCCAACAGTTAAGTAGCTCAATAACAAATGGGTTTAGCCCCACACGTAACACCTTTCGTGACTTGCTGCAATAAATTAAGACCAAAAGCGATTCAAATGAAGTCTGCGCGCTTTTTTCATTTCTTTTTTGGCTACGCAAACAGATTAAAACATTATAAAAAAAATGAGTAATTAACAATCAACATTTTGCATATAACAAGAAGAACGCGTGCGCGCTAAGATAAAACATTAAATAAAAAACGGCAAAATGTGGTTTAATATATGCAGGGTCGACTGGAGACGATTTATTGGCAAACCTATTGCCATTTGTCATTTGCCATTTAATCGATAGATTCGAGCAGCGTTTTTGTATCAAATTTGTAGCATCAACTTTTTTGTCGCAACGATTTATAAAATATGTTTATAAGTAGCTAGCGTTTGCTCCACTTTTCAGATGCCTCGCATTTGTCAATCGACAACTCTTTTTTCCCCATTACATTTCTGTCTTGCAACAAGCTTGCAAACGATTTTTGTTGCAAATGCCGAACATGTTTCGAGGTTCGATGTTTGCTTTTTACTCGTAGACTGAATACTGAACAAGTGATTAATTTTCAGCTACTTTAATGTCTCTGCTGTGCCTTTTTTTCAACTAATTGCACTTTAATGGCAATTAAGTCGCTTTTTAAAAATTACGCGATCAAGTTTTTGTTGTTTTCTTTTTTTCTCATTGATTCTAAGTGCTTGACTCGCCTTTTAGCGGATTTCAGCAAACTTGTAATTCTTATACTACATATGTTACAATTCATTTGGCAAATATCTTTAAAAGTACATGTACAACTTTCAGTTTTTCTACTAAGTAGGTGCTTGTTCAGTAGTCTGCAGATTTATTTTAGCCAAGGTGTGACGCTCAAGGTTTTGAATTAACGCACTCATCAATGCATGCCAAAAATAAATAATATCATCAAATTTGTTAAATGAAGAGTGTGGAATACTGTCGAAAAAATATTAATATTTCACTTCATTAATGGGCGTGATGTGGAAGGTCAATTTAAACGTATATTATATGTACAATTAAATTATTACAAAGTGGAAATATTTTAATTATTAAAATCGAGTGCTAGAAATACTTGGCATTTCTATTAATATATACGTATATTTTATGTAAAATTCAATTATTACAAAGGGGAATTATTTTATTTATAAATATCCAGTGCTAGAATTACTTCGCATTTCTATTAATATATGTATACGTATATTTCATGTCTCAATTATTAATTATTTTAAACTGTAGTTATTTTGTTATAAAATTCATAAAAAAGTTGCAGTTCAGTGCTATAATTACTTCAAATTTAAAACAATATATTCGTATATTTTATGCCTCATTCAATTATTACAAAATGGAAGTATTTTATTTATAAAATTCATGTGCAGTCCAGTGATGTAATTTCTCGAAATACTCATACATTATCGCGCTAGTTTAAAATGTAAAATTAAAATTTTAAATGAAATATTTCATATTAAATAACTGGGAATGAAAAGGGAGTCTTAAGGTGAAGTTATTGATGTTATTGAGCAAAGAATTTGGATAAACAGTTGACATAATTAACTTCGAGAATTAACTTAAAAGGGAAGACTTCTTAGACGCGGCTAAAATGTTGATTGAATTGTAATCACGGCTTATAATAACACTTTGAACAGATGTGAAGAAATTATAAAAACTTTCAAACGATTGCTTGGTTTGTACTTATATTTTCTCAACTAATCTCTTAAGGCCACTTTAAACTCATAGCGCTATATAGAATATAGTCTATACTGTGTTATTTTTCAAAAAAATAATCAATTCCTTTCTAGAATATGTACGGACATATTTTTAAGAAAGATTACTTTTCGAGTTATCCATTATTGTGATTTTCATTTGAGGTGCCACTGCAATTTGTTGCAATGAATATCGGCGGAAAGATAATGTTATACACTGAGCACTCTTCTGTGCAGACAGCTCGTTTTCATCTTCAATAGTCTGGCCTTAGTAGTGCCTTTGCAACTGGCGCCTTCTGGCAAGCAATTCATTCGAGTCACACCGATAGGCACACACACCAGCACAACTCACACGCATGGCCACTCACGTACACTATCCGTGTGCACAGCGCACTCGCTTGCCTATCCGTGTGAGCCGAAAAAAGCTTTTGCCTCACACGAACACACTTCATTGGCGCATTTCCTTTTGCCAGCAGCGGAGAGCGCGAAAAAGCTTTTTTCCGCTTGGCGGCGCTCTTTAGCATGAATTGCTTCTGCTGCTGCGACGTGGTGGACACAGACAGATGGATCGCCGATCACCGATCACCGCGCCCGCCCCACCCCCCAAAGCAACAAATCGCAGACAGCATCGCGTTGCGGCAACCGCCGGCATATAAAAGCTCGCGACGTCTGTGCGAAATTATTCAGTTTAGTGTTGCGGCTTCGTTGAGACATACAAGCCCCGGCGAAGTTTTGGAGTGCGCTACCTATTGTTTTAGAAGTTAATTTCAAATCGTGCAAAATGAAGTCAATGGTATGTGTAGAAGAGCAGCAGCAATCGAATTTAAAAATAATACAAATCAAATCGAAACTGAACGGAGAGGTCTAAGAGGCTAATGCCATGTTATGTGATCAAGACTCTCAATCGAACAAATCGCAAAAGTTAAAGACAATGCAGCAACATTTGTGATAATAATGGTCATCATTTAAACGACTTAACGAGGCTTTAAATCAAGCCTTTGCAGCATGTTACGCATTCAACATTTGCAACGGCCATAAATTAAGTTGAACAAATAAAAGAGCACAAAAATGCAAATAATACACAATACTGAAAACTAGTCTGGCATTTAACCTTTGCATTTAACAAACAAATGCAGATATGCAGAAATTGGCAGATATTAGCTTTGTTTTATGGAACTATGGCCTCAGACATTTTTGGAATTCGCTGCAACATTTATGTTTTTATTTATTTGATTCCATCAAAGTCTGCTCAGACAAAAGGCAAATTTCAAATCTAATATATTCATAAAAATTTCATTTACCAAAAAAAATGTATTTATATTTTTGAAGAAATGCAGCAAAATAGTTCAAAAAAGTTTATACAAAATAATAAAAATTTAAAAATATACAAATGCATATTCGCACTGAATACTGCAATTTTACAGAACGATTTTCTTTTAAATGAGCAATATTTCTATAGCTTTTTTTGAAAATAGTAGCTCTATTGATTACTAATGAAAAGTTCTAGCAGTTGATTTGTCGTCTCATAACACATTCAAATCACGTATACGCATTGCGTATACGCAACTCTCTTTCATTCATAACCTACCACAACGCCAAAATATAAACAATCGCTTAGCTTCCATTGAACTTGGCGCATTGCCCACAACTTTTCGACACTCCTCGCCGCTTAGAGGTGGCGCGTGCCGTTTGACCAAATGTTTGCGCCCCATTACATAATAAATAAAGCGTAATTAAAAATTATATTCCATAATGGTCAGCAGGCGGAAACGACTGTTATTTAACAACTAGCTAACCAACTTGAAGCAACAAGTGCACTCATTATTTATCAGAGTAGGGAAAATGTCTATAAATTAAAGCAGTTGTCGCCTTCTTTGAAGAAAATCCTCAACAGTCTCTGTTCTTTCATTCAATTGCAGCTCATTTTTGGGCTCCTGGCACTCTTTGTGGTAGCCAGCGCCGAGGAGGCGGTAAAGAAGGCTGAGGCCGAGCCAGCACCAGCCGCATCCGCAACAGAAGAGAAGAAGCAAGAGAAACGTGGAATTTCCCATGGCTTGGGCTATGGCTATGGACCATCGGCTATTGGTGGTGGTGCCATCTTGGGCTCAGGCATTGGAGTCGCTGGGCCAGGCATTGCAGTGGGCGGGCCAGCCATTGCACAGATTCCCACCCAAGTGCACACCAACACTGTGGTGAGGACCGTACAGGTGCCCTACCAGGTGGAGCGTCATGTGCCTTATCCCGTAGAGAAGACAGTTACGTACCCCGTCAAGGTACCTGTGCCTCAGCCCTACCCCGTCGAGAAAATCGTTCAAGTGCCTGTGAAGGAAATCATCAAGGTTCCCGTCCACATTCCTCAGCCCTATCCTGTGGAGAGGATCGTGAAGGTACCAGTCAAGATTCCCGTCGATCGTCCCTACACTGTGCACGTTGACAAGCCATATCCAGTCCATGTGGATAAGCCTGTGCCCTACACCGTCGAGAAGCGCGTCACAATTCCAGTTCAGGTGCCAGTCGACCATCCCGTGCCCGTCCATGTCGATCGTCCAGTGCCAGTGCAGGTCAAGGTGCCTGTTCCACAGCCCTACCCAGTGGAGAAAATCATCCGTGTGCCAGTGGAACGTCAGGTACCAGTGCCCTACAAGGTAGCCGTTGAGCGTCCAGTGCCAGTGCCAGTTGAGAAGCCAGTGCCCTACAAAGTGCCCGTTGCTGTGCCCGTCCATGTTCAGAGCCATGTGCAGCCTGCCGTTGCCGTCACCCACTCCGTCGGTCCCGCTGTGATCGGTCATGGTGTTTCTGGAATTGGCGTCTCTGGTCATGGCATCTCTGGTCTTGGCATCTCTGGCCATGGCATCTCTGGCCATGGCATCTCTGGACATGGCCTCTCCGGACATGGCATCTCTGGTCATGGAATTGCGAGCTACGGCATTTCTGGCCACGGCGGCTATCTCCACAAAAAGAAATAGATCAATTTAGCACTAAAGAGGGAGCGTTGAGACGTACGAGCACGCACGGCCATCAAAGACGAAGAAGTGACAACAAAAATTCGGGTGAAAATCAAATTCGAACAAATTCCCCAAACAACACATGAACAACAAACAGCCACTCCGAACCCCTATCGTACGACTTACAATTTAGTTTTTAGCTTGTGATACAAACCGAAATTCTTGGAGGGGGTTTTAATCGAAGTGAGTGGCAGCTCAAGTGATTGGCGAAAAATTAATGGTGTGTGGCATTCAATGGCAATCAATCAGATGTGGAATTGCCTTTAAGCTTGCCCGCCACACAAGCGCTATGCAAAATAATTGTCCCTCTGCCTGATCGCTGCCACTCCTTCCGAAAATGTACAGTTTTCTCCTAGACAGAGACAAAATGAGTTGATGATCCCTCCCTCGACTTTTTCAAGTAAATTTCTTTTCTATGAAATGTTTGTACATATTTAATGTAAATAAAACGAAAGTAACAAAATATACATGTATGTGAAATGCTGATTGTTTTACTCGCAACGAAATATCTTCAATTATAGCTAAAAGAAAAAAGCAGTATATAATTTGGGTCCGATTGGGCAATCATTCGCTTTTTAATTGGGCACAAAAATAATAATTTGGTTACTTTACAAACCCAAAAGATATATAGTACAGCGACATATTTCTTTTCTTCTTTTCCTAAGACAATTTGAATAGCCTTTCAGCAGAATTTACCGAATGTGTTTATAACTTAATATATCTGCATCGAGGAAGAGTCTTGTATGTATATCCAAATTTTAATGACTTTTCAAGTTATAGGCTTAAATTTCTTTCAAAATTTTGAACAAAGAATACAATTTGTTGCAGGAAAGTAGAGATCGAGTAAAGATTAGAGTAAAAGCAATAGCCGCGGACATCTTTTCGTATTAGAGTTTTTTTTATTTGTAATGGAAACTATTACATATTCTTTATGCATTCATTCGTATGAAACGGAGACAGATAACTAGTAGATGGCTTATGATTAGTATCAAATTAGAAAATAATACAATTTTCCAAGAAAATAATCGAAACAATCAAACAATGCAAAGCAAAGCCAATCAAAAGTCTTAAAACTCAGAGCTCAATCTGCATGACGCTTGACTGAGGGATAAGTTAAAGCCCGCAACAGTCGTTATAGCGACGGATTATAAACTTAATACGTTAGTAAAGAATAAAATTACCCGGAGGATTGCATATTATCATATAAGAGCACAGATGCATATGCAGCTGCAGAATTTTGCAATCTTAGGCAAGTTCAATTAAATTAATTATTAATTCAAAATTAATTATTAATTCAATAACCTTGTTTAAATTAGGTTTTATCCTATACTCTGTAAAATTTTCCCAATAAAAACAAAATATATTTAAACTAACTTTAACATAAATAGACTTTTATCAATTTTTTCAGCGGCTGGTTTATGGAAAATCTAAAAAATGTCTGTAGAAAAGTTTCTCCTCCGTATATTCATCTTTCCGATTTCAGCTACCCTGCAGTATTTCGATAAGCTGTATATCCCGACATAGTACATAGCTACTTAAAAAAGCTTGAAATTATAAGGTGCATACAACCAGGTAGTGCTTCCAAGTTTATATTTAGACTTAAATTGCAACTCACAAGCTTTTGATCAAATAAAAAGCTTTGCAAACCTTTTGCCTCTTTATGAAACTTCATAATTAAGCTTCAGCATGTGTTTGAAAAGTATGCAATAAGTTTAAATATATTAAATTTAATTCTCCAACTCCGTTTTAAGGAATGCCTAAAACAATACTTCTTTTATAGGGAAAATACAACTAGATTTTAAATATGTTTCCATAGCATGTTCAAATATATTTGAAAAGAAATTTATTAATAAAAATGAAAGAAAAAAATCACTTCTCTCCAAATATTCAAATAAAATTCAAATAAACAACAGATACAATAGGTACTTATTCAAAAAAGGTGCTAAGCGAATCTGCATTCATATATTGGAATTGCAGGATCATTAATTATATGGTCTATAATTAATATCAAATACGAATATCCACCTTTTTTCTTAGAGAAACATTTAATTTTTTAGATTTCAGCTAGCTTTTTTACAAATCCATCCAATTCATAAAATTTTATGAACTTCAGCACAATAGATTTAATTTAATTAAGTATTTGTTTGGTTAATTGCCCGCAGTTTCGACTGCAAAGAAATAAGTTGAATCTGCAGGTTTTTCCTGAATAAGACAGGTGAGAAGCTTCAACATTCATTTAGCTTTAACATTCATCATGATATCTTTTATTTTATATTTTAATATTTTTATCAAAACATATCCCTTTTCATAAGCTGCATTTCCTGTAAATAAATGCCAACATTGTTGATTCTTCAGATAAGACATTCTGTGTGCGTAATTTTGAATTAAATTCTCAGAAAATAATTATTTTATATTAAATGATAGAAACATCTGTCTATTTTTAAATATTGTAATTTAATTCAATAGGTGTAAAGCTATTTGTAAAGAGTCATACAAATTTCACATAGAGACATAAATATAGCACAGTCTCTTGCAATAACTACAAGAAGATAATTAATATTTATGAACATTGCCATGCATTGTATAAACATGTTGGACTTTCAGAAAAAACTGAAAACTGCATTAGTTATGGCAGCCAAGGCAATCGATCAATGCAAATGAAAACATATGCCAGTGCAAGTCTAAGCGCGAATGAACGATTAGAGCGAAAGAAAACCTGCTCGCCGCCAATTCAAACAGACTACACATATCTCGAAACTAGCCATATAATTTCCAACGTAATCATCAAGCATTTAAGTGAAAAGCCAATTTGGCCAACCCGTCGCCGCAGCAATCAATCTCAAAGCGAGCAATGGAGTGTGCAAAAAAAAATAAAACAAATTATGCAACAATTAATGCTATAAGTTGCAAAAAAAAAAAAAAATAATACAAAACAGAAGTTTAAGTGCAAAACACACAGCACAATTGAGCGAAGAGAAAAAGAGGAAGGTGTCCAAAATATGTAATTGTGGGCATTTCAAGTTCGTTGCTTAAGTCTTTCGTTTGTGCGACAAGAACCTGCTGCCCAACTTGGCCCACAACATTGATCTTGTCCTAAGTTTGCAAAACTTGCTGTGTGAACAATTTTGTCTGTATTGTTGTTGTTCCAGCTATTATCAGTGTGTGTGTGTGTGTGTGTGTGTGTGTGTGTGTGTGTGTGTGTGTGAATGTGGTCAGTGCCTGGCCAAGGAGAATGGCGACCTAAAAACTTGCAAAGTGAATGCAACAACAACTAAAATAATCAGACGCAATCAATTAGCGCTATATGCTGAAGTTGTTGGACTGCCACAGATGTTGTTGTTGCTGTTGTTGTTGCTGCCACATGAGGCAATTGCGTCATGGCGCTGTCTAACGGCCTGCATATGATTGTGTGCTTGCATGCCTCCATGGATATGTGTGTGTGTGTGTGTTTCTGTGCGCTTTGGTAATTGACTTGCAATTTCTTTTGGACTGCCTCTGCTTTTGCAACAGCCGCCACTTTTGCCGCAAAGAAATTTGGAAAATGTTGCAATATTTCCCACACACACTACACTTTGTTGCCGTTGCCTGTGTGTGCGTGTGTGTGTGTGTGTGCCTGACTGAACAGCTGGGGGTTATATATTTCGGTTATATACCTCAAAAGTAAACTCCTTAGGCTTAGGCTATTTAAGTTTAAATTTTTGCTTTAAAACAATTATTTGTTGATAACGGATTAATCCGAATATGAAGTTCAGCTGCTCTCATAATACGAATTAAACGCTTCCCCCTTTTACCCTTTGCTCTTGTTGTTTCCCCTTCGGCCCACCTTATTGGTTCAGTCTGTTATTCCCTTTTACCATCACTTCTCTTGCCACTTCATCGATTTTAATTATAGACTCATTAGCGTTACTTTTATTTTTGGATCAGCTTTTCCTTTCATGAAATTATATTTCTTTGTTTTTCTCAACTGGCATTTTTATGCATTTATAATGCGTAATTTTGTTCGATTTTCGCCTTTTATTTTTCTACACAATTTATCGCCTTCTCTGAGGAAGTCGCCGCCACTTGAGTTTTTATTTTATACAATATTTGCGTGTGCTGGGGGCACATAGGAAAATACAACTTTGATTGACGTTTATTACCGTGTTACGGTTACATTTGTTTTTTTTTTCATTTGTTTAAAAACGCTTTGCTGCGAAATTGCCACATAATTTATGGTAAATTAAACATAGATTCAGATTAGTTAGATTTCCTATGCATTCTACATAATTGCGCAAGCATGTATGCTGCTTATCGCGTTAGTTTTTAGTTTCTGTGCACAAGTGTTGTTGCTGGTTGGGCAACGATTTTATTTTATTTTTCTTTTGTTAATTTACGAACATTTTAGTGCTGCCTAATTACGCTGCGCTCTATATTTTTTGCAACACCGAGGGGTGTTTAATTTATTCAAGCCAGAAAAACAACTAAGCAAGAAGGTAAGGGGTATTTTTATAAATTATTTTATAAACATGAACATAAGTATAGAAACATACTATATACATTCATAAGAAAAGGAATTGGAAGACAAAATTAGGGATAAATAATATGTCGTATTCTAGAGTCAATTTAAAATGTTTTCAATTTTATTTATTTTCATATCATTCAACTTTTCATATTCTTGCTGTTCTAGTATTGCAATGGCTAAAGTCCTTTCCCCCCTAAAAACTTCAGGATTCAACCAATGCAGCAACACAGATCTTACAGTAATGACTATAACTTCCTTTATAGTTTACCTATTGCGATAAAACTTGACACGATTAACACACTAACTTCATGTAACTTCGATTACAAATCCACAAAATAAACTTTATCTGTGGGATGCACACATATTATTGTTTTGTATTTTAAAGAAAATTGCATGCAAAAATTAAATTTACTTACTATTGCAGATAGAAGCATCAAACCTCGCTTCAAGACTTACCAACACAAAGCCTTATCCACGCCTCAGTGCGGATTAACTGCCCAAAGCAACAATGAAAATAACAACAACAACAACAACAACAGCAAGAGCAACAACAAAGGCTGCCAAATAGATTTACAAAATGTGTAACGAAAAATGCCAAGAGACTAGCATAATGTTTATTCAATTTACGCAATTTACACTAAACTCCAGCAACAAATACAACAACAACAATAACAATGACTGCAACAACAACAACAACAACAACAGCAGCAAGTAACAAACAAATGCCGACTGTTGCTTTGGTTCGTTACCATTTGGTATTTTATTGCCAACTGTAACACATTATTGTTGTAATTATGAGCCGAAAAGAAGAAAAAGGAAAAGCCAAAATGTAATCCAAGTCTATATTTAAGATAATTTTGCACTAAATGTGCAGCAAATGAACAACAATTGAATGCATGACACAGTGAGCGAGTGATGAAATGACGATACAAAAATGCAACGCTTTTCTTGTTTTCCCTTTTTTTTATTTCATGTTTATGCAAATTACCAGACAACAACAACTACAACAGCACTGGAAAACAAGCGAGTGAGTCAATGGGTCAAGTGAGGCGGCAGGCGGCAGGCTACAGGCGGTTGGCGGCCACGCCCATTTCAAACAGCTGCAGCTGCACTTTTTTGCTTGAAACAGACTGGCTAGAGTCAGGCCAGGCTTTTGGCCAAAGGCGGAATTATTATGATAATAAATTGATCCGACTGGTTTTTCATGCTGGCCGGAAAATACACGATATTTTTGTCTATTTGTGCGATGTCTTTTTCGCTAAACACACATACAACACTTCCTGTTTAGCCATGGAAACCGGCTAAATGGGCTGCAATTTTTGTCAATTAACTATTTAAGCTAATACGAGAAAACAGGAATAGAATATAGAACATACATACTCTATTCAATGTCATTAAAAGTGGAGGGCTTGAATGTTTTTAACAAATCCTAACATTGCCTAAATTTGTAATTTCTTTAAATATCAGTTACTACGATACGTGTTTGTGTATACAGTTTTCTTAGACTGCTTTATCTTTAACACATTAATGCAAGTTATTGTAATATTGACAAAATTAATATAAAAAGGAATTATCTGTTTAGCGACAGAGTTATTTACGTGACTAGTGCTTTAACATATATGTAACTCCACTTGTTGCACTTGTTGGAATAATTAACAATAAATAAATAAATAAAAATAAATATTTTACGCAACCCCTGAAAAAAATGCTTTATCCTTTATTAAGCTTACTTGAAGCTAATATCATTTAATTGTCTGAACACTCCTTTCTGGTGCCTAAAATATTTAATTATCAAATTGTTGGTGAGACTTCATAATGACTCGATTATGAAGGTAGTTTCAAACGTAATCAGATTTTTTGTAACATGCACCTTTTCCAGTTTTTCACAAATTTTACATATAATATTCATAATGCTTTTTCCACTCTACTATGTCTATCGAAACACACTTCTTCACTAAACCAACTAACAGGCTTCATTTCTTCTTTAAAAGCTATGTATTTTACGCAGCTATCGGAAGATCGAAATCATCCCTGAAGCGCACGAAACAAGTATCTTCCATCTTTCCACGTGTGACACAATTTGCGGTTTTGCAAGGAAATTTTCGTTTCACAAGAGGTATTTAATAAGCTTTGACAGCCTCGCTCAGCTCGCTGTATGAAAATAAAACGAAGTGTAGAAAAATAATAGTGAAGAGTGTAAAGTTGCTGATGATGGGCAATTGTGCAAAACAAATTTTGCAAAAGCAAGACCGGTTTGAAACAATAAATAAAATTTTGCCAAAATACCCTTAGTGGTACTAAGAATTCGTGTATTTAGCTGGAAGGTTTTCGATAACTTCATTATCATTTGGACAGTGTTAAAAGCTACTGAAATTGGCCAACTTAACAGGCTTTACTGTAAAAACAAATTGCAGCTGATGCACAAATTCATTTGCCTAAAGCCACAATAAATAAGCAGCGAATTAATATAAGCCTTCATCACGGCTAGTTTTTCCATCCGTTTTATAAAAACAAAAAAGTAGATAAAAAACATAAACAGGCGCTCTGGTCAATTGAGCGCCGGCGCAACAGCGCGTGACAATGTGACCAAGTTTGGTTGCGGAGCTGCGTACGAATATAATGCCATATACAAACATTATTAAAGCCGTCCCCGCGTAGATGCCGAACAGCAACAACAACAGAAACAACAGAAACAGCAACAATAGCTATGGTAGCAACAATCGAAGGTGTAATAAAGACGCGCCTAAGCCAACAACCGCCACAAGAGTTCAAATGCTTTTGCCATTGACCTCTTTTCCCTACTTTGTTATCTTTGTTTTATATTCGTGCCTCACTCGTGGCATAGTACGTATAGTACGAGTATAGTAGTATAGTGTATACACGCCTTCATTTCATTGCAGTAATTGCAGTCCTCACTTTCAACAATCAAGCAGCAGAAAATTATATACATACTATAGTATATAGCTTATTTTTCGTAAACAATTTCAATGTCAAACAACCGAAATGCAACACCGACCGAGAGCAAGCTAATCTAATAATGGAAAGGAATATCAACTTAATTAAAAGATCAATCGCCCCAATAAACGAAAATTTGAATTTGTGGGAGAGGAAGTACAATAGTGGGTCAATGGAAACTGATAAATATCTCATTATATCTATTTTTAGACGTATTTCGATGCGAACGCTTTTTTCGACAGAGTACTAAGTGATGATGGCAATATTATTTCAAAAAGCAATGACTTGGAAAGGCATTTGAAGCAAGCAATATTCAAATGCCACGTTCAATTTCATTGTTTCACTTTGTTTCAAATCTTATGAATTTACAAGCGAGGTAACGATATCTTAATGTTAAATATAAAAATTTAAACAACAAATGCCAAATTCAATTTAATTTTCTTCACTTTTCTTAAAACAACATGAATTTACAAGCGAGGTAAAGCTAGAAATATGTTAAACAACAATAGAGTGTAAGGCGGGAGAAATTATAAAAAAAAACCCATAAAAATGTTAAGGTAATTTGTTTTATTATTTAGTTGTAATTTTTACCAACATATTTATTACTTTTTCTTGCTTTTATCCGCTTATTTATTTTAATCTTTAATAAAGTTTAGTCATACTTTTTCTATTCTTTGAAAAGTTCTTGCTTTAGCCGATAATTGTGCTTATCTTAAATAATAATGGTTCATCTTTATTCTATTCTTTAAAAACTATTTTATTGGCAGAACAAATAGCAAAAATTATTCAGACAGTGGGCACTGGTTTCTCAAGCATTTCAATGAAATTTATTGAATAAATGACAAAAAGAAAACCAGCAGCGGAACAGTTGAAGCAACGACCTTGACCAGCAATGCGATGAACCCCACATGGCTCGTAATACAAACACGAAAACGCTAAACTACCGAAACCTAAACAGTTACACGAAGTAGCAAACAAGCGTATAAAAAATTGTTGTTTTTTTTTCGTTAAGCTGCACATAAAATGTCATAACTGTCAGTTTCGCCTACATTTGTAATATTTTTTTGGGAAAAAATAAAAAAAATAAAAGATAACACCAAGCCGTGAAGACATTAAAATCAACAAGGTATACAAAATGCAAACATAAAGAGAAACACACATACATAGTGTATGTACAAAAAAAGCAAAACAAATGGAGTCCATGAACGAGCGCACGTTTTGAAGTGGAAACAGAATGGAATGGAATGAACATGTCACGTCATGTCGGCACATAAATAAATTGTTACACAAATTAGCTGCTCAAGCTTATGGAAATTGGAGTTATTGTCATATATTGAAGCGAGCTCCTCAATATGATTAATCGACAGCTTTTATAAATGGACGCTTCTGATGACAAAAAAGAGTTCATAAAATTCGATAATTTATACGAAAATTATGTAAACTGCAAATTCAGCATTTAATACAAGGCTAAGACGCACAATGTAATAACATATTTGTCGAAGACGAGCGTCTTAAATGACAAATAAAACAAAGGTATTATTAATTCAAGGAAGTAATTGCACTTTAGAGTATGATATTATTTTCTCATTCGAGGGAGACTTTGCAGGCTTAAAACCAATGCAATGCAATGTGGCAACAATTTCAAAAACCAACAACATGCCAAGACCTAGCTATTTGAATGACATAATCAGCTGAACTATCTAACGGCATATTCATGACAACAGTAACAGTAACAACAACAGCAATAACAACCAGCAACAACAAGTACAACAGCAGCAGCAGCAGCTTCCAAGCAAACTTAAAAATAACTTAGCTAGCTGGCTGGTCAAGACATGCATGCAGCAAACAAACGTAAACGTGAATGAAACGAAATTGAAAGTTGGCGAAAATGCAACAACAACAGCAGCAACAACAAATCAAGAAACAAGTGAGAAATGTTTGCCACCGTAACAACTCCAGTCATGTGCATGCACATGATACTCCATATGTGTGTGCCAGCTGGAAGACCCATTGACATAATAACGAGGAAGGTAACCAGAGTACAAGTAGGAGCATGGCAGACAAACGAGAAAGACCGCAGACTTCGCGGTGGCGTCAATTACCGCAAACAAACGAAATGGAATCGAAACGAAACGAAAGCGGGAGGTGTGTCTGCCTTACTTACTGGATGGAAGACTGCCCGACTGACTGTCCAACTGTCCATGAGTTTGTCTTAGGTTATGGTTGGTGACCGCATGGTTCGCTTCGACGCGCGTATGTGGAGCAATGACACAACTTAACACACACACATACACACACGCACTGGACAAATGACCGAGTGACACACTCCCAGGCACTCTCTGGAAACTGGTAATGGTTTCTGGGCATGGCCAGTGAAGTGAAGGCGATTACGAGTGCAGGTGGCACAACAGAAAACGCAAAAGTAAAAGGATTGTGTGCTCCTATTGTGGCCAAATGACAGGAGACAGGCTCACAGTCTAGCTGGGCGGGCAGTTGAATAGACTTTATTTGTATGCCGCCGAAAGAAAGGAAGGGAAGGGCCGGCCAACTGCAACAACATGAGGATTTTAAAGGAACAAAAAAATCAAGAAAAGAAAATTGAAAAGCGGAAAAAGGAGTGCCAATGAAATAGTATGTAAGAAGAGAGAGGTTTCGCTCATTTGATAATGCCGAGCTGGAGCCTATTGAATTAAATTAAATAGAAATTAAAATGTTTACACGATTTTCAATGTAATTATGTAAAAATAATAATAAACAAAAATGTTACAATACCCAGATTAAGCTAAGGGAAGTTTTGAAGAATACATTTATAATACCAATCACTCGCTGTAAGTCGGGGCACAGCGGCCTATTTCGGCGACTAAAATACCCCTTTAAGATTAGTACTGTTTTAATTTTAAATACAAAATTTCTGTTTTTATCCTTTTCTTTTTATGTTATTAGTTTTCTTTGTTATAAAAAATGGCAGTGTCATTTGCTATTAATTTTTAAATAATTTAATAAATAAATAAATAAATAAATAAATAAATAAATAAATAAATAAATAAATAAATAAATAAATAAATAAATAAATAAATAAATAAATAAATAAATAAATAAATAAATAAATAAATAAATACTATTGGAACTGTTCATCTACAGAGAGTGATTATTTAACAAGAATTTTCACATGAAGTTAAAAGGTCATATTGTTTTTGACGAATACGTGTATAATAATTATACTATTGAGAAGGTTCACCTGCAAAGTGTTAATATTAAATTCGAATTTTTATATGTAAACTTTAAGGTCCTATTGTTTTCGGTGTGTTAGTTTGTCACATCGTTGATATAATGATGTTAATAGTAGTATGTCATAAATAATATCAACATGTTGAGACGATTCCCATTCAAAATGTAGTCAAGAGTTAAAATATGAACGCGTTTAGAGTTTTCACACAAACTTTATTTTGACGCACACCAAAATAATATGTGGAGGCTGGTGTCAAATCACTATACATCTAATTCTGTTTTTACACGGTCTTTTTGTAAACGATTTTGATTTAACACGGTTTGAAAATTAAAAAAAATTTATATATGGTTACACGATTATACTCCACTTAGCACGATTCATTTTGCATAAGATGAATGTCTTTTTTTTACACGGTTATTTTTAACACTTCCGTGTAAAAACTGATTCTGTTTATCCTACATATAATGGTATACAAACAACAAGAGTGGAGAAATAATGTGAATAATGAATTCATTAATACCATCTCTAGTACTGAAGATGCCAATGCTACGAAAATACATTTCAAGTAAGGTTAAAACGTAATATTATTACATACGTTTATTTTGTAAATATATAATATAATATTATAATATAATAGAAATCAAATAGAAAAATCGACTACAAAATTAGTTAATTTATTCAATAAATAAATATAACGAAAGACATTGGCTTGTTAATTTAAATATTAGAATAATTTCTCCCTCTTGGTATTTATTTCTCTCTAAAACATCAGTTGCTAATTGTTCGGAACTCAAAATAGGTATAACAAGATCAATAATATAACCAAAGACAAGATACTTGTGTATCAAAAGCTGAACATGTATTTTAGAAACTTAAAATCCGATAAAAATGGTTACATAAAAATTCTATTAAAAAATTTTTTATTTTGGGGACCAAATATTATAAAAACAAAAAATAAATAAATAAATACAGACGAATTGATAACATCCTCCTTTTTTGAAGTCGGTTAAAATTGATAAAGAATGCGTATAAAATATGCGATTGATATTCGAATTATTTTTACAATTTATTGAAATTAATTGAAAAATGGCCACATTCAGAAAGAAGTAAGATTCTCAAGCGGGTCAATGGTTCAATCGAAACTAGTTTGTATCACTACCTAACTGTTTCTTTCGTATATTCAAAAACAGTAATGCAAACACCCAGTACAAAAATCAAAGTCAATTACCAAATGAACAGCAATTACCGGCAAGCATGTAATCAATAAAACAATATTACTTAATAGACATATAGAATCGTGTGAAGTGCAAAAGATGCAAAACAAATGAAACATGGCGAATTTGCATAAAATTAACTCACAGCCAAGCTGCAAATGTAGGCGTGTGCGCATCGCATCGCATCACATCGGTTCGGATACGAGTACGAGTATTATTCAATTGTACGCCAAAAATGTGGTTTATTGTTTGGTGGGTTTCTTAAGCCGTATATAGTACATACATACATAGTACGTGCATTGACTTGGCGCAGTAACAAGTGCCGCTTATGGCCACAACTGGCAGCTGACGGTAGCTGCAAAATGGCACGCATCTATAGCCCCTTGCTAGCCTCCTCTCCCCGACTGGCCCCGCTCGTCCCCTCGTTGGACGCATCAGCCACTTAATCACCTCATATTGCAATGTTGCATTGGCGGCGCTTGACTGCCTCTGCCACAGCGCCAACTTCTTCGCGCCTCGAAATCCAAGCAACGAGCCAACGTCGACCATAATGATGACGCCTAGCCACGAACCATTCACCGCCGCATATGTTTTGGGTTATTGCGATTATTATTATTGTAGTTTTTTCTTAGTTTTTATTTCGGCTACTCTTCGTCTGCGCCGTCCCGCTGTCCCGCCGTCCAGCCGTCGATCCGTCGCGCATGCGCTCGCTCACTCGCTTGCTCGCTTGCTGGCTGGTTTCTTGGCTGACTGTCTAACTCCATTGGGCTTAACTATAAAAGTGTGCGCAGACGGTGCATTTTGTATCATTGAACCGTTAACCGTCGAGTTGTAAAGTGGTGGCACAGATCGAGCTAAAGACAATTATTTCGTGCGGCACACGAATTCCTCGTTAACACAAAACAGACGGATAAGCTTTTGTGGGCGATACGCGTGCCACTCAAAAGTGAAATCTGTTCACACAACACATTTGTTTTCGTCCCAACAAGGATAACAGGTTGGAAGTTAAAGGAGTTAACCAGCAACATTATGAAGCTAATGGTACGTATAAGAAAGAGTTTGTGCCATAATGTGTGTGTGCCACAATGATAATCAAGTGAAAAAGTGATGAAAGGACTCTATATAAAAGGTCTATTAAAGATCCAAACTCAAAAGAAACAAAGGCAGCAAAGTGCTCGACTATATACTAGGATCCACAAAAATACAGGCAACTTTAAATATGAACAATATGTATATAACTAGAAAGCGTAATCAACCAGTGCTTTTTGTTTTTCTTTAAAGCATACTCTATATATAAATAATAGTTCCAATTGAATATGGTTTCTATTTAAATATTTCCCCATCAAAGAGAGAACTGTTCATATGCTAATAAAAAAGGTTCAAATGTAATTTCTTCACACTTTTTTAAATGATAAAAAAAATAGCTTCCCGATCTTCAAAATGCTTCATAAATATATAAATGTAATTTCTTTAAACGATATTTTTTTATATTGAAAAGCATATAACAAAAAGAAATTGATTTATTTTGTCCAACACATGTTATATTCTGCTACTCATTCTAAGTATAATGGTGTTCATAATTTTATTGTTCAGAAATTAAACGGACAAATTTTTGGGTCTACGGATAATATTTAAAAATTTCTAAAAATTGATTCGTTTTGTTTTTCCAAAAAGTCCAACTCTAATAATTTAATAATAGAAATCAGAAAAGGCAGTAAATGGAAATTTATGTTTCAAGCAGAGAAATTTAGAATGATAATAAAAATATTCAACAATAATAAGTATTTAAAAGTTTAAAAAAATATCACTTCACTTCTGTGCTACAAAGGACAGATCTTAAATAAAGATGAAAGAGAAATACATTTAAAATAAAGACCATCTTCCTAAAAACAGTATTTATTTAAACTTTCCAAAACGATCGATATTGTTTTAGTGCCACAAGTTCACAACCAAAAATAGTAATAATAGAAATCCATATAAGCCCCAATCAACATATAGAACTGATGATCGGAGCAAATCGAATCTAACTATTGCATTATTTTCTCATCTTTGCAGCGTACAGCGACGGCGCTGGCTTTGGTGTTGCTTCTGGCCACCAGCTATGTGCAGGCAAAGGAGGAGGAGAAGAGCGCGGGCGACAAGAAGGCAGCTGAGCCTGCAGCCAAGGATGGTGGCGCAGCTGCATCTGCCGACGATGAGACGACAAAGTCGAAGCGTGGTCTGCATCACTACGAGGACTATCATCATCATCATCATCATGTGCCCCACTATCCTGTGCACGAGGAGAAAACCTTGACCATTATCAAGAAGGTGCCTCAGCCCTACCCAGTGGAGAAAACCGTCCATGTCCCCGTTGAAAAGCACATTCCAGTACCCATCAAAGTCAAAGTACCAAAGCCTTATCCTGTGATCAAACATATCCCCTACGAAGTCAAGGAAATTGTTAAAGTCCCGTATGAAGTGCCCGCCCCATACCCCGTCGAAAAGAAGGTACCATACCCCGTCCATGTGCACTACGATCGTCCCGTTCCCGTGAAGGTTCATGTGCCAGCTCCCTATCCAGTCGAAAAGAAGGTGCATGTTCCCGTCAAAGTCCATGTGCCTGCCCCATATCCTGTGGAAAAGATTGTCCACTACAAGGTGGAGAAGCACGTGCATGTCGACAAGCCTTATCCAGTTGAGAAGGTTGTGCATTATCCTGTCAAAGTACCTGTCGATAAGCCAGTTCCCTACCCAGTGGAAAAGCCAGTACCCCACTATGTCGATAAGCCAGTGCCTGTGCCTGTGATCAAGAAAATCCCCGTCCCAGTCCATGTACCCTATGATCGCCCCGTGCCAGTGAAGGTGGAGAAGCCAGTGCCGTACGAAGTGAAAATCCATGTTCCCCAACCCTACCCTGTCATCAAAGAAGTGCCAGTCAAGGTGGAGAAACACGTGCCTTATCCCGTGAAGATTCCAGTCGAGAAGCCCGTCCATGTCCATATTGAAAAGCATGTGCCAGAATACCACGAGAAGCATGTGACCTACAAGGAGCCAGAGTTCATACACAAGCACATCGAGGAGCATCATCATGAACCCATCCATCATTCACATCACGAGGAATCGCATTCGCATCAAATTGAGGAACATGAGCATGAGGTGGAGCATGATTTTTACGGTCATGATGATCCTTATTCATATCACGGTTACTAAATTGGTGAAATGAATTTCTCTCTCATCTCTCTTTACAGCATTGAAAAACGTAACGAATGGATAGCAAACCATAAACAAAACGAACTAAAATTCCGACTCAAAGACACATAACGTTCAATTTTCAATCTGACAAAGAAACTAACTAACTCCCTCTCACATACTCGTACATTCCATTCCGAAACATACCCCATTCATATGCATATAATGTATACCACTTGAAATAGTGAAATAGGAACACATTCCAGACAAAATTCGACCACATTTTGCTATGTAGAACGGTGATAACGGGATAGAGATCGATAGAGATTCTTGAAGAAAACGAAACGAGCTTAGTTTTAAACCGATATTCTCTTCTAGTTTAAGCCATAAAACGTTGAAAAAAAAAAAACAGAGATCTTGAGAAATGTTATGAGAAATGTTTAGTGTTTCTTAGATGTTGTACTCTTAGTAGAGTGTTTAATCTTAAGATACTTAGATACAATGCGACACAATTTGGCAAGCATACACACACACAGACCCATAGAACAACACCAACAAGAACACTGACAACGCCAACACACATTGAAATAATCGACGATCCGATAATCCGATGATCTTTGACTGTGTTGGCCTTGATCTTGCTCTGGGTACTCTGACGTGGTTTCGGCTGCTGCTGTATTGTCCTCCAGCTGCGGCTACTCCTCCTTCTGCTCTCAGCTCCACCGATTTGTGCACCCGATTATATGGTTCGTTATTGTGTGACGCAGCGTTCAGTTGAGATCTCTAGATCTTTCATTTCTTAGCGTTTTAAGCGTGTGATAAGACTTTTGTTTACTGTTAATCGTCTAAGTTTTATTCTATAAAGGGCAGCAGTGCTGGCGCCAGTCGTTCAGCACTCGCCCATTTAAGTCAGTTTTGTATGAACGCAAATTATGTAATACTATATGTATTAATTGTTGTTACTTATACTCGTATTTTTGCGCTCTATGTATTATTTTAAAGCAATTTAGTTTTGTAATTTTTATGCGCACACACATGCATACTTGTGCAGAATTTTTTGTAAAATGTAAAGCTAGAAACGCTACGCATAGCAACGGATTTATAAAAAGTACTTAATTTACCAAATATTTTTGTCTCTGTATAAAAACAATGAACAATGAAGCTGATAAATGTTAACAATAAAAACAACAACGAAAACCAAGTGATCAAATCGAACAAACATTTCTGCATTTCTCGTTTCATTTAAGATGATGTCAAAGATTTGATTTTAATATCTTAAATATAAAAATAAATACCTTTGAACATTGAAGATATTAGAAAAGGACTCTCTCTCTCTCTCTCTCTCTCTATCTATCTAATATTTTCTACTTAACAACTTCAAAAGTGTTGAAGACAACCAATTTTGAAATAATGTATAAAGAGCGGATTTCAATTATCCCTTCTATACACCAATAGAGCTATATTTTTGAAATCAACTGAAATTAGTGTTTAAAACTGAATAAAATCAAGAATACTGATAGCTATAGCATGAAAGAAAAAAAATTGACCCGCGATAGAAGTGAAACTTAGTAGTTATATTGAAGTAATTTAATTTGAGTTAATTTTTTACTCCCTTCATTATTACTCAACAAATTACTGGCAAATATACATTTGGCTTGAAAATAATGGCTGAAAATGCTAAACGCTATCGGTTATCGAAGATAATGGCAAGAAACACAACTGTAAGTTGGTAGAAAAAGGCTTGAAAATCGTCTTAAAATTACTAAAAATAGCGAAAAAAAACGTCAACTCAAGAAGGCTAAAAAACGCACTCTAAATGGTTAGAAAGCCAGCTAAAAATGGGTAGAATATGCTAGAAAATTTATACATAACCGCTTTAAATAGATAGCACATCCACTAATAGCTAGAAGAACCGCTTGAAAATGGCCAGAAAATCGACTATAAATTTATAGAAGAACCGCTGGAAAATTGCTGATAAATAAAAATACAACCCACTTAAAAAATTGTGAGTAAACCCACCAAAACCTTCACATAAGAAGTTACACTTCAAAAAAATAAAATAGAATACCTTACAGTACGAGTGGTTAGAACTTAATAGGACCCTTTGGATACAGATATTTTCTCTACCGATTGCACTATTTAAGAAAGAAGATATCTCAAGTCAGGCTAAAAAGCTACATGCTTTAAAAACTATTGAGTTTAAAATCAAAGTAGCACTAAAATCAAATCCAAACACAAATCAAGAAGAGCTGAGTTTTGCAATACTCCTTCGCTTTCCCACTTTTTCCTCGATGGGTAATTAAATGCATTAAAAGCGCTCATCTAGGAGCAGAGCCGCTCTCAAATAAGTCCATTAAGCATTTTTATTGCAACCATATTGCAACATCGCCAGCCGTCAATGGCCACCTACCCATTGTGTGCCGATTATTTATTGCGTAATCAACAAACTGCAATGTTACATAAACAAAAACTACCAGCTAACCAGACAGAGCCTCTCTCAATATGCTAATAAGTCGAACTCTAAGCTGTAAAACTCTTTTCATTGCAGCCGGCCTGTAAGCCAACTTGTTGTTGCTGTTATTGTTGTTGCCGTTTCGCCTTTAGTAGAGCGCGCTGTACGCCTGTCCAGCTCGAATATCGGTTAGCAGCACATGTCCTACAAACCAACTAAGAAAAACGTGATAGCTTCATGCCCCACATTGCCTTTTTTTGTGCTGGAAAACAAATGGCGCGGCCACAAAAAATTATATGGTGCAAGAAATCGCAATACAACGACTTCAATGAAACCGAAATGCAAATTGAAACCTAATCTGTATAGTTTATGGCATGGCAACAACAACAACAACGACAACAAAGCCCAAAGCCTAAAGCCCAGAAAGCAAGCAGCAATAAGAGCTCGAAAAACCGCACACAAATCGTTGGTTGCTAATAAAAAGTAATGCCAGACCACAAAATAAACGCTAGGAAGTGGATGCAAGCTGCTCGGAAAAGCGGTCGTGTGGCACTTTTTACGTGCCACACAGAAATATGCCTTCAGGTGCACGACTAGTGTGAAAAAAGTGATATAAACAACTTGTTCACATTTTGAATATGCAATAAAGAGCCGGCCATGTTTATATCGAAGGAAATTAGATATGGCGCTCATGGCAATTGGAGAGATATGTAATGGATTGGTTGGGGATACCCGAAGCCATCATATTTGGAAATTTTGCATAGATTACAGGAAAGAAAATGTTGATAGCTACATGTACATATAGATAATAGAGACGACTGTAAAGATAGATAGATCTCAAGCATAAGTTGAAAGCTTAACATCAATAATTATGCAATTTTTAAAATATATTGCTTAGCTTAGTTCTCCATATATGGTTAGATATGTTGACAGATTTTGAAATCGTTGTAGAAATAAAAAAAAATACATACACATGTCGGTAAACAGCTTAATTCTATTATTGGTCTATTTAGTTATTAAATTAGACCTGGTTATATATAAATTGATTTATTCTTAAATTTTAATAACAGATTTATTTTCGAAGAGCTAGATTTTTGTCTGTTGCAGCAAGACCCGTTTCCTTTATCTAGCTATTCACTTATTTATAATTATAATATAAAATTATATATCATTTAAAAGGTAATTACATATATTTATTTATTAGTCGAACAGTCTGTCAATCGATTTCTACCAAATATGAAATATAGTCTTACTTATATCCAAGGAAAATGCATGATACGAGATTTGTAAGCTTTTGTTTGATTTCATTTCTCATCCTATAACATGAAGGAAATCCCTAATATTTAGAACCAAATATCACCTACTATTTATATAATATAGGCGATATAACAAATGAAATACTAAATAAGTTAGCTGAGGGCCATAGAAGCCATTGCATGTTAATTTTAGGATTTCAATTTTAAGCTAGCATTATATAAATAAATAAATAATTGAAATACAACTTGGAATATATTTTTTCATCAAGCTGCGTATTTTTTTCTAGAATATGGAAATGTTTTCTAAGCAAATATTTTCAGTTCAGTCGTACTTAGTTGGGGGAAAAATAGGCATAATCTGTCTGTTGTTGCGAATAAAAGAAACCTATTTATAGTAACTTAATAAATGTGATATTTGTAAAGAATATTTGTATCATTTGAATGCGATCTCTTCCACCCATACATATGTATAAGGTTTAATTTGATCTGTCAGAGCAGATTGAGACATCAGTTGGCATCTGGAGTGTCAATTACTGGCGATTTGCCAATCGCTTGCACTCCACCTTGAAAGAATCAACGCCCTCAGAGCCACATTTGAGCCAAGTCGCAATATTTCAGATACGAAACACTAGACTTGCGGCCAGCCGGTGTGGCGACAATTATGCAATAGACCAGCAGGCCGACTGTCATAATAACCAAGAGCTGGCTGTCTTACATTTCAATGTGTCGTATATGGCCAAAACGAAGTGAAATACGACAACCACTCTGAACGCCACAGAGCGCAATAAATGTGCAACTAAAAAATCGCAAGACAACACAACACGGTCAACGACAATGGCCAGATTTGAGGGGCTCCACAGCCATTGACACCCGAGCAGCGCCGCCACTCATTTTCAGAGTCCATCCGAAAAACAAAAATTAAGGCTTCGCGCTCTCGTATTTACAAGCCGAACAATTTATAGTTTAATGGGTCAGAGCTGATGGTCTGGTAAGCGGAAGGCAGGTAGTAAGAGTAAGTCGAATGGAGCAGTTTTTTTTTTTTTTTTTTTCATAACACTCCATGTCTTGGCTTATTTAAATGACGGCAACAGTTGCGCTGGCGAGCCAGCAGCCAAGTGGAAAGTGAATGCGGGAAATATCTGTAGATATATATACATATGAATATACTATATATACACACATTGTGGATTTCATTTCGAACACATTTTCCTTACCACCAGGCCGACAACAAGACGTGAGTGCAAAAGTGTTGTATGTAAGTGCTCATATACATATATAGATATATGTATATATATATGTATGTATGTGTCTATATATGTATGTGCTTTGTATTGACCATTATGTGAAGTCAATGGGCCAACTCTTGGCCACTACTGGCGCTTGCCATGCGTAATCGCCTGCAATTTGACGGAAAATGTTAAAAAAAAAATGTACAAATAAATAAAATGTGTTTGTGTGTGTGTTTGTGTGAATTGCAATCAAAAATAGCAAATTAATACCGTGCCTCAGTTCGGTTTATTCACGTTGGTTATGTAGCTAATTAGATAAGCGAGGCATTTGTTTGGTAATACACTCATTTAGAAACTAACATTTGTTGAAGAGCAAGTGAGAGTTAAATTAAAAATAACTCTGTAAGGTTAATCGAATCTAAATAATACTCTCAAATCTTGTAAAATAAAAGATTTACTAAATAGGGCGTTTTATGGCTTTGCTTTTTTATCGCTGCTGCATTTTATCTTCAATTTACACAGAGTTGAAGTTTTTCAAAAGCTACACAAGTTTGAAGGTTTTCAATGCATTTTGGAACTTTCAAAAGTTCGTGCATAAAAAATACATAAAATGCATTTAACATAAGCAATCTAAGAAGCTATCTGCATCCCCTTCACTGAGTTTTGTTGCCTTCATTGTCATGGGCCACCAATCGAACCTATTGTGTCTATTACTAGAGCTTCTCGGAGGCCATGTTTTTGGCCCATCATGGCACGTGGCCATGAATTGAATTCAAATTTCACAAACAGCCATCTCGGGTCGAGCTCAGTTGAAAAGGAATGAAATAACAAGCACGAGAAACACAAAAATTACACAAACAATTCTTGATGAGGTAAACAACATGATTGCGAAAGTAAAACTACTTAACTCGATTATTGTTCATGAATCTAGTAGTCAGATGGGAAAGCAAATAAAGACTTTTACAAATTTATTCATAGAAATGAACTATCATTATGATTACTATACTATGATTATTTTGAAATGCAAGACTTCGGGCTACATATGTACAATAAACAACTAAATTGCGGAAGAAATATACATTTTACATAAGCCATAAAAAATATAGAAGAATTTGCAACAATATGGGGTGCAAGTGGAAAAAGATAAGGGAATCTCAAAGCTATACTCAATCTAAAGCCAGTTCAAATACTGCCGCAAGGAAATATATATAGACTTCAGATATAATAGGCGATCACATATATGAAAAGCGTTTTAGCTTAGATACTTTGCCAGGTCATTTGAAATGCAAGACATCAGGCATAATAAATAATTTATAATAAAGAAATCAGTGTGTATTTAAAATCTACATTTTACATTAAGCTAAAAAATATTGAAGCTTAAAAAAGGGTCCCTAACCTTCGAAGTCAATTTGCAAACAATATAGAAATGGAAAAAGGTGAGTCTCAAACCTTTACTCATTCTAAAAAGTCAGTTCAAATGCTGCTCCACAAAAAAAAAAAAAGATATACTATATAGTAGAGATACAGTCTAAGTAACCGATTAACGTTTTAGCTCAGCGACTTCCCCAGATCATATCTTAACATAACGATAGGCGTCTCGAAACAAAGTTGTCTTTATTTTAACACAAAATTGGATGTTAATTAGTTTATCAAACGATTTTTTAGGGAATGCAATAGCAAAACAAACAACGGAGGAATATTCACAATAACAGATATTTTACTCTCTCATCCTCTCTTTCTCTCTCTATCTGGCAAGAATATTGTTTCCTATCTCAAGCTAGCAAACAAAATTAAAGGTGTAAGCAAGAGACTGTGGAGAATATTTTATTCAGGAGCTATACTAACACAAGGAAAATTGGCGAGTATTCCGAAAAAATATCCAATATTTATAATGATCTAGAATGACCTTTGAAACACATTTCATTCCTAAAGTCCTCAAAATACTAAACCATGGACAAATCGCAATCGTAAATCACTAATTCCTACGTAAAGATTATAAGATCATTCAAAGAAATCAAAAGAAAAGTTAAATAAAGATTTGAAAAAGGCACAACGCTGGAAGGAGCTCAAGACATTTTTAAACTTAAAACTCGTATACATGGCTAACGTTGCCAGCACGAGGTAGGTCTATTACTTGGTTATTAAACTAACTAGAACAACATAGGACACCGTAAGATACTATTGACCGGATTGAGTCTGTAAAGAAATTTCTAGAATCTGCAAGTCTTCTTTTCTCATAAGCATCCATCTCCTAATCAGGTTAGCGAGGCAACTTGGCCAGGCTATTTCGTGTGTGTTACAAATGTTGTTAGCACGTTGTTACCGTTACATTGCGCCTTCTATAAACTTGCTAATAAAACAGTGGCACATGTAAGTTCGTTACAAATCATTTATACCATTTTTGTTGTTACTTTTCAAACCTTTAGGGTGTATAATAAAGAGCGGTGCGTTGCTTTTATATATTTTTATTAGTCTCAGCGACCTTTCTAATGTATTTAGTTGGTGTTGGGGACTCGAGGTCATGGTTGATTGATCATTTGTAACACAAAATTAGGCGGTAATCATAAAAATGACCTTTCTGGTGCTTAAGTTACAGCAAGTCTCAGCAATCAGCCAAGTCTTAAGAGATGAGAGAAAATTCAAGTAAAAGTTAAGCGGTTTTTAAAGCAAACTTTTGCGCATCATTGAAATCCAATTACAAAATAGCTGCAGACACATTCTGCACTTGGCAACTAGACTTAATTTATTCTTAAACCTAAAATTTTACTTAAATATTGGAAAGAATTATTCGGCAAAAGATCGAAGAATAGAATGTTGATTGGATTCTTAATTGCTTTTCAATAAATAAACAATTTGTCAAATCCACAAGCCCAGACTTTTTACACTCTGTTGGAAGACAGACAAAGTAAAGAATGTTTGGACTTCATATTCGGATTCTACAAATTTTCAAATCAACAAGCCTATCCAGAGTTTTTACACTCTGTTGGAAGACAGACAAAGTAAAGAATGTTTGGACTTCATATTCGAATTCTGCAATTTTGTAAATCAACAGACCTATCCAGAGTTTGTAAGACAGACAAGGTAAAGAAAGTAAGTAAAGTAAAGTAAAAACAAGGTAAAGGACTTCATTTTCGGGATCTGCAAATGGGCTTACAAAACATGTTACTCTCCAATTTTTGGCATTGAAAATGTTGGAAGCTGGTGTTGACTAACATATTTACAATGTTATTAGAAAAAATGTCCATTGATTGCTAAAAATATCATAAAATATAATATAATCCATAGAGTTGCCATTAGCTGGCTATGATTTAAAATTAAGCAAAAAATATAAATTTGCAAATATAACAAAAAAATAATATCAGCTACTCACTTTATGTAGGGTATATTAGCAGGTATGTGATATTTGGCTCCCGGATCGAAATCCTTTTCAGAGCGCAATACAGGCGGCTTAATGCCGGCATATTTTTCGCTGCAGAAAGAGAACTTTATTTATAGCTATGCTATATAAAAATGCAAGGGAACTACGAACCGCATATTCCAGTAATGACAGTTCATCATGCGCTTATTGGCATTGCCACTAAAGACATCGTAACGCCAATTGTCCAAAGCCAGGGCATATGGCAAAAAGGCCACCTATGGAAGAATTTAAGTATTCTAAGTTGAAATTAACTCTCAGCTTCCATCTTTTAATGCCTCACCTTATCAATAGCCATGGTGAACAAGTAGTTGATATCGTAGCTGGACTCGTCCAGAGATCTCTGCAGTAAGCCCAGGGTCTGCAAGTGTCGAGGCGTTGAAACCGATAAGCCAATAGCATCACCCACCGCCTGATGGAATGCAGGATTGGCGCCATTGCGAAAGATCTTGGGCAGATGGCGGTACTGAAGGAAGTACTGGATGTGGGCCATTTCATGATGCACACTAATTAGGCTGCGTTGATTGATGTCGGTGCAGATTTTGACACGAAAGTCGTGACGATTACAAAAGTCCCAAGCGGACGGTTCGCAGAGCACGCGTCTGTCCAAGGGCTGTTCGAAGACCGAATTGCGATAGAATTCCGGACCCACAGCCGACATATTGATGGAGGTGAAGAACTCCTCGGCCAGCTGGAACATCAGCAACGGTGTATAGCCCTGCTCCACCATACGCGGCGTCACATCGATGAGCTTCCGCCCCGGATAGGGTATAAGAATGTCGAGTATATTCGACCAGGATTGAGCATACATATTGCCCAGTATGTGGGATGGTATGGGTGCTATATTATTGATGCGATCGGGTCCATAGTAATCCCGCAACTTGCGACGCACATACGAGTGCAGACTCTCATAGAGTGGACGTATTTGTTCCCATACAATGTCCATATCCTGCCGAAAGTTTCCAGACTCGTACGCCAGATACCAATACTCGCCGCCATTGGTGACATCTGTAGTGCCAATGCAATGAATAATTCGATTCCTATAAGTAATTTTTATAACTTACTATTCGCATAGGCCACCTCCTGCATTACATCGATCAACTGCTCATAGCTGTCGCGCATTCCTCGTCCCGCCTTGCGATGATACTCCACCCAGGTGTGCTGCAGTTCATCCCAATCCCGACTCTTCGCCATAATGTCCTTCAGGTGTGGTATATAGTGCAGATCGCATTGAAATGGTTGCTGATAGGCACAAATACCGGCGCCATTATACAGAAATAACATCTCATTCAGCAGACGATTATACTGTTAAGAACATTTCTTTTGAAACTGACTATTTTGGATTTATCCATTATATACACTCACCCTATCCAATACATCCAAAGGCAAGGCGTTTGGGCCCACCTCAGATTGCAGCATCAGCTGTCTATATAGACGACGGTCGAATATGAGATCCTTGTTTATATGTTTCGATTGCTGGGCCGTAATGCGTTGAAATTCCACATAGCGTTGCTGGGCATTTAGCTGTGGAGAGCAATTATCAACGAGAAATAATAGCATACAATTTTTAAGAACTAAAACGATAAGAGGAATTAATAAATAGGCATATTGGCATACTTTTTATGTATATGAAGCTATAAGAAAATTGGAAATGATAGGCAGTACTGCATGATATTGTTGAAATGAAACGAATGGTTGCAAAAAAAATATACAATATTTCAATATTTCAAAAATTTATGTTCATTAATATATCAATATTTTCCTTACACACACGCACACTAAATTTAAAGCACATTATTCTTGCAACGATAATAATTGTATTTGTTACTCATGATAATTAGTTTCAGATAACAATTACAATATTGCCCAACTTGGCATCTAAAATGGCGCGAAAGGCAAACAAATTTAGGTGGAGGTTTACTTGAACAATTTTTTTTGATATGATAAATAATTCTGGTAAGCTTGTAATTATTTTTAGACGTCGTGTGCCAATTGTTGGATTAAGTTTATGACGAACTTATTTCACACACTTTATATTGCAATATTTTAGTTACTGAACTTAAACACTTTTCTAGCAAAGGAACTATTTTTAGATAACATAACGCAGACCGATTTGATGACATTTACTAAAATAAAATTACAAAAAAGCAACCGTTTCAAATTTTTTAAAATTAACTATAGATTTATTTTCAAAAACTCGACAATTTTACATAAAATAAAACATTTAGTACATAATACATATAAAAGAATTTTAAAACGATAAATGAATGTTATATATTAATTATGTAGAATTGGAATATTTAGTACGCTTTGAGTTTTGGGGAAGCTATTACTTTTAATATTAAGTTTTGAAATGCAAAGTGTAACGAAAATAAAATGCAATTTGTGAAACTATTAAAAATAAGAAGCGAGCAGTGTACAATAAAAAATGTTGCATACTAAGCCTAAAGGACAACATTAAATTTTTGATTAATTTCGAGTTTTAAATTCAAATTGTAACGTAAAGAAATTGCTCTTTTTGGAACTATTAAAAATATGAATCGAATAGAAAATTGTGCACACTAAGTCTTAAGAAAAACATCAAATTTATTTATGAATTTTGATTTTTATTTCTTTTATTAATTACAATTTGAATATTTAATAATCTTTATAAATAAATAAAATAAATATATAAATTGCAATTTGTGAAACTATTAAAAATATGAAGCGAGCTTTGACGAATAAAAAATATTGTAAGACTCAGTCTTAGGAAAAACATTAAATTTTTTTATAAATTTTGATTTTTAAATTCAACTATTAAAAATAAGAAGCGAGCTTTGTCGAATAAAAAATCTTAGGAAGAATTTAAATGAATTTATGAATTTAAATTTTAAAATTCAAATTTTAACGATTGCCATTTTTGGAACTATTAAAAATATGAATCGAATAAAAAATTGTACACACTAAGTCTTAGGAAAAACATTAAATAGTTTTATGAATTTTGATTTTTAAATTCAAATTGTATCGAAAATAAATTGTCATTTGTGAACCTTTTAAAAATATGAGGCGAGCTTTGTCGAATACAAAATGTTGCACATACGAGTACTAAGTAAGTCTTAAGAAAACATCAAGTGCTTAAATCAATTTCGACACATGTGCGGCAGCCAGAAGCGAAACGAATCGTAAAGCCCTCGAAGTGCAACAGCTTGACATTGGCATGTCGGCGGCCTGAGAACTTTATCAGACGACCTTCAATAAGCGACAAGTGTGTGTGTGTGTGTGTGTCAGTTTTATCTCACAAGAAAATTGCTGTGAACATATGTAATAGTATCTGTGTACTGACATCTACGGAGAGCCTGAGAAAAATGCACCACTACCAGCAGAGAGCGGCACAATTTATCCGCACACCACACACACCAACACATGCCTATTCTCTATGTACACATGTACATATTTTTACATCGCGTGCCACAGCACCACAATTACCCGCGACCACAGGCATAGGCATAGCTTTAGCCACAGCCACAACTACAACCACCGACTTACCGCTTCCGTCTGTGTGAAATCGTTCACATTTGTCTCAAAGTTCCACTGTGCGGCCACATTGGCTGTGCACTCCAAGGAGCCCTTCTGGTCCGTTTCCACGAGCAGATTGCGCAGCTTTTCCAGTTCCATCTGGTAGCGACGATCCTGCTGAAAACGTTGACGCTCCAGATAGCGATTGTTCAGATTGAAACGATCCTGATTGGGCAGAAAGGGGTTCTCGAAACGATTCCGATTACCCACAAACTCCGCATTCGGGTTTCCACTGTACGGTTCGTTGGGATTGTAGGGGTTGCTGGTGGTATAGGGGCCACCCGCATTTCGTCCATTATTGTTGTTGTTGTTGAGATCGTTATCATTGAGCGGATAATTGTTAAAACGATCTTGCGTGCCGTAACGATCAGTGGTGCCGTAATTGTGATTCGCATAGCGTTCGGCCCCCCCATTGGTATACCCGCGATCCCCACTGAAGGGTGACTCAGCGCGATCATGACTGAAATTCAGGCGGGGTGTAGGATAGGCGTAGCCCAGACGCATACGCTCATCATAGGTCTGACCATACTGTAAGCGAACACACACAATTATTCATATATTGTGGAGTGGTTTCACACCTAAAGATGGGGCAAGCAAGGAGAAGCGAAGAGAGAGATCGCCTGTCAACTATCTGAGATGGCACAGAAATACTTTTCAATTGAGTTCCAAACCCATTTCAGCTTCTATGACTGAAAGGTTATTTTATTCATTTTAAAACTGTTTTAATACACTAATAAAACTCTTTCAATAAATTTACAAAGTTATTAAATCTTTTAAAAGCCTAACTGAGGGAAAAGCTGGTCCAGTTTCGAAAACATATTTTATTTATATTAACTATTAAAGTTGAAGTAAATGTTTTAGGTTGATAGGTCAGTTTGTTCTTTAAATACATATACTTATATGAAGTTGACAAATGTGTAATTCTTTTCAGATGAGAAAAATATATGTACTTCCATTAAACTAGCAAGATGTAATAACTTTTAACACTTTTCTGTTAATTAATTAAAAAGCGAAAACATAGCAGTATATTTATTTTACATATAAATCTGCTCATAAATCATTCTTCACTAACAAATCGGAGTACTGTCCTTGGAGTTGTGTTCACTAACCTCCCTCTGGCGCCTCTGACAAAGCATTTATTAGATATTACTGTAAATAAATGCGATTATTTATGAAAATTGAATAAATAAATACATAATATTGAGCTTTTCTTTGTTACATTAGTCTGAAAAATGAAACCCACTGGCTCTGTGATTTGCAAAACAGCCGAAATAAACAACTTTTGCGGTATCCATGACTTCCCTTGTAAATCAAAAAAAAAAAAAAACATGCCAGAATAAATTGAATTGGCCTTAATGGGGGCCAGCTCTTGCCACCCGAAGAAAAGGAAGAAGTTTAGTAAGAAGGAGGCTGATCTTGCCAATAGATTTATATAAAGTATAAATAATTAAATAACACTAAACTCCTAGTTTAAGCTGTATTTATATTTTTCTATAAGTTTAATTTAAGTTTTTGTAAATAATAACAGTTTATTGAAGTTTTATAATAAAAAAAAAGTTCTTGCCACCCAGTTACTGCTGCCTAATATTTTTTATTAATTTATTTATTAGTCGAAAAGTTTCATTCTCTGCTCGACTCTGCTCTCAAGTTCTCTGCCTTCCCATACCCATACCCATCTCTAGACCTTAATGAAACGCACCCTAAAGTCGTCCAGCCCATCATCGGCACTGCCCAGCGGCTCGCCACCGCTGTCCGCCGTGTAGGGCGGTCCATAGCGTTGGCTACGATCTCGATCGGCCGTGATTTGTGCCGGGGTAGTGGGCGTATAACCATTATAGTAGATTTCTGGCTGCGGACTTGCTGGATTTTGGACCGGAGGTAAATCCAACTGAGCACTGACCAGGCACAATTCCAAAAAGACGAGGCAGCCCACGGCCAGGGGATAAGACGACATGTTTTAAGCGATATGTGACTATTTTAAACACAAATGATTCAGTCAAGGTTAAGAGGTAAGCACTTAGCTATGCTTATTAAATCTTTCACAAGCAATTAAATTTTTAATTGCACTTCGAAATTAATTTCATATAAGACTTGTTGCTTATGGGCTGAGCTTGTTCTGGAATCTGTTAAAGACTGTTAAATGGCTTGTCACTTTTCACAGCAGTTCGCATAAAGTTTCGTATTGAGAATCTGTAGAGAATCTGTTCATCTTAGCACATTCCCGCACTTTCCCAACAGCGACCGATTCACACTGATTTGCAGTTTTGCACTTTTCCGAGCGGTTCGGCCAACAAACACGTAACGTTTTGCAACGCGTCTAAAACTCTACTAACTTGTTGCTAAGAATTTTTTCGAAATTACTTTTTTTCACTCGAAAAGTGAATTCAAATTCGCTGTCGTCGGCGGCGTCGGCGTCATCGTCATCGCCCGATGTCTCTATATTTTGTGTGAGATAATCACAATTAGCACTGCCGAGCTATGGGTACTGCTAACAACAACAACAGCAACAACTACAATAAACTCAACCATAACCAACAACAACATAAGCATGTGAACAACAATGGTTTGTACAGGTATATATGTATATATATGTATGTGTTGTTGTTGTATGTAAATGTTTTGCATGCATGTTTGCAATTATAAGGGAGGGTAGTACCTATCAGTCAAAAACTTTAACCGCAACGACCCATTAGTATTAGTGCCTGTGAGAAAGCCGTCGTTCAACCGACTGAGCGAGTAGTCGTCGGTAGAAGGCGGATATCAAGTAAGCAATGCCAGTTGAAATGTATAATTAAAATAGTCTCTAAATAGGAGTTTACAATACCCATGCCAGCGTGAATTAAGATATAATTTCGATGCTACATTTATATATAAAATTCATCCACAGACGTTTATAATAAATTATACTAAGAAAAACAATGTTTTTATTATTTTGTTTGTTTAGAAAAATTAGCTTCCAATCCAATTCTCTTTTTTGTACGTCTAAAGACAACTTTAAAATACTCGTAAAGTTTCCTATAGAATCAAATCTAATGCATAAATTATAGTTATCTTAAAATTCCACAAAATTTTCATTAATTCAACCATTCTCTTCTGTAAATAGGTCCATTAAAATAAATTCATTAAAATAATTCAAATTATTTTTAAGTAAAGCTAGACTACCATCTAATTCTAATTACCTTTAAGCTGAAAATAAATAAATAGGTAAATATTACTTTTTTAATAATACACCCTTTTGATTTAACACGGTTTGAAAATTAAAAATTGTATATATGGTGGCCCAACTGTATTCCATTTAGCACGATTCAAAATAACATAGGATCAATGTCTTTTTTACACTGTTGTTTATTACACGAGTTTTTCTGGAATCAATCTACCGTGTTAAAACAGAATTAGGTTATCTTAAAATTCCGCATCCATTCAGTTCTGTGAATAGCTCCATTTAAATAAATTCATTATAATATTTCTTTTTTTTAAGTTAAGCTGGACTGCCATCGCTTGTCTTTAATTTTAATTACGTTTACGCTGTAAATAACTAAATAAGTAAATATTACTTTATTAATAATATGTAATTCAAAAGCTGCTCAATCGATTGCTCATGCCACAGCAACTCACATCTCTAGCAGAGCTGATAAGCTCACCCACATAGCCCAACAACACTTTTTCGCAGCTCGCTGCAAACTCTTTTGCATTCGTCGACGTCGACATCGACGTCAGCGTCAGCGTCGCTGCTGCTGCCGCCCTGGCGTATGCGTTCCACTCGCTAGCTCGCTCGATCACCTGCCACCCACGCCCGCATCCCTGCAACATGGCCGTCGCGTCGTTGTCTTCGACATTGTTGTCGTTGCTGTTGTTGTTGCTGTTGTCGTCTTTGGGGCAATGTCGCTGTGAAATGCTTGTCACTTGACCTAGCCGCATGTGAAAAATGTTTTGAGTCATGCAAGTAGTATGTAAACAACTCAATGAGTGGGGGCAGGGGAAGATGCTGGTGGGGCTGGTTGGGGGAACGCGGCGTGCATGTTAAGGTGCTAACTGGGATTCATGACTGGACTGATTGATAGCTTGATTGCGACACTGGCATACAAAGCGAACAATATGATTCAACATTAATTAGACTGCGATCTATCTCGGAAATGAGCTCATAAATAATTTCAAATTCGCCTGCATTATGAATAACTACATACATGCTTAGATAGATGCGCTCCAGGAATTGAGGTAGTATCTAAACTTTTATTTTTGGCTGTCGCTAATGAACTTCAAGGTCAACCCAAACTTGTGCAGCTTAGCGAATCTTAAAGTACATGCTTAGTACATGTGTATAACTTTTGCTCGGGGCGTTGCTAAAACTCTAGTAAAATAAAATGAAAAATTAACAATCTCATGGGTTACACCTGCAAATATTCTATGCACATATGTACATATCTACTTATAAGTAGGTAGAAAAATGCTTACTTGCCCGACACTCCAACAGCAACGTGGGAAAATAAATTTCGAAACGCAATACTATATTACTGCAAAGCGTTTGTAACTAATTAATTAATAAACATATGAATGAATATATTTTTGTAACCCGATGCGCACTTGCTTACTCGCATGACACACTCGAGAGCACGTAGCATAATTAATTTAATATTTATTTTAAGCTATCACCTTTTGCTATTGTTGAGAGTCATCATCATTATCTTCTCTCGAGCACTGCACTTTACTATTAATTCGTTCACTAGTTTTCCTTGCATTATTATAGCTGTAATATGTGAGTGGCCCAACTGACCAGATCTTGAGCGAGTACTTGACTTTAGTGAATGATTAATAGTCTGTATATAAGCTAGTATACTCGTTCATTAACACTCGATTTCAATGGTTTTTTTCTTGGGGCACTATCCAATACACAATGCGTAGTTCTTTTTTTTAATTAAAAGAAATTTCGATGGTTGTGGGGAACTTTTAATGGAACCTTAGCAGCAGTCAAGATAGAGCACTTGGGGCATCGTGTGCATAAACTTGCAAGCTTCAAACAAATCCCTTGCAGGCGTAATACCCTTAGGTTAAAATATAAACAGAACCATTAGATGGTTTATTTGCCACTCTCGATAGTTCGGCAAAACTGTAAAGGTGTTGCTCCATCGTCCAAATTTCTTTCAATTAACTGTGGTGTTGCCAAAATTCAATTATATGCTCGCTTTTCCTTTTAATGTATTCAACAGTCTTACTAATAGAATATAGGTTAATGGAATGGAGATTCTATACGAACCTTTTTAGTTATCTCCAGGGAAGTGCCGGACTGACAAAAAAAAAGGTCCCCCAACAGATTGGAGATTTTCTTTTTCCTTTATCGCTTTTTTCTTAAATATTTTAATTAGCTCTTAATTAGAATTCAGTTCTCTCCTCTATTTACCAGTTTTTGTTAGGTCTATAACGTCTAATGTGTTGTAATTTGTATCAGCAGCCTATTTTGTTAATTTAAAAATGAAATTTTAAAAAAATAAATAATCTGTGATAATGTGAATAATTTATGATTAACAAATATATGCAGATGAGGCTTAAATAGCTGGTTTTGGTTCAATTTAAAATTAAAATGCTTTTTATCATTTGTTTCAATATTAAAGGTGGGACCCCATATTTTATCATTTTTTTACAATTATTTCGAAAGATCCTTTGCGCTTATTGCGTCTTCCGCTCCTTAGCACGCCTTATTACGTCTGGTCTTATGGTGAAGCTCACAAAGCCATATTCTCGCGATTTTCTAGGTGTGGAGAACTCAGTCTTTTTTATGTCCGACATGGGACTGCCTGTGTTTTTGAGCCACTCCTTCATAACGTATATAGACCTGATCGGGCCCTCAATATAGCCCTTGACTGTGCCCTCTTTAGTGTTCATGCACCAGCCACGCAGGCCCAAAGATTTTGCTTTCTGTTCGGCATGTTTGCGAAAATAGACGCCTTGTACTTTGCCGTATACCTCAAACTCACACGAGTAGACCACTGACATGTTTTTGGCTTTCGGGGGGTCCCAGCAGGGCTGACGGGAATTTCTTGTTCATTAGGCCGAGATTAAATAAATTTAAATAAAAATGGCAGTAAATGCAAAGTCCAAGTGCCATGTTTTCTGCTGCATACTTTTAGGCAGCAGCTGAAATTTAAAAACCAATTACTTATTTGCAAATGCGAAGAAATGCAATTCCGACTAAAAAGAAAAAAGGCACAGTTTATTTTATTCTAAATTCTTAGATCTTTAAATATTTTATGTACTGTTGCATTCATTCGTACTGTGCATCTTTAAATAAATATTTATTTGCTTTAATTTACGTGAATAGCTATGTCCAGCCAACTTCCAAGCCATTGAGCCGATTCTGCATTACCAGCCACTCGTATAGAGGCTGAAAATAGCTCAGTAGCCCATTCAAGCTTAATTCGCGCTCTCCCAGCATTTCCTGCAATACTTCTCTGTAGTGCAATGACGAGCCCAAGGCCATGGCACGACGTAATCTTGGTCCAACTTGACGCTGCCCAGATAAGTCACACAAATCCAGGGGCTTATCATCCACTCCATCCACATATTGATTTGTCAAGTTACAGAAATGCGTATAGAGTTGAAATTGCAAAACAATGCTCATAATATGGCTGCCAAAATGGAGAGTTATTTAATTATCTTCGTGCCATTATGCGGACTCACCTGGCATACTGATCATCCACCTCCAAGAGCAGCTTTGCTGGCACATCGAATTGCTCGTTGCTGCGTCTGCGTGGCGCCGCAGCGCCCGTAAACTCTTCTGTCAGCCGCCAATAGGCTTCATTGTCGTCGGCTCTGATGCGTCCACTCAACACCTCTACGCGATAGCGATCGAGCACATAGAATACGGGCAACAAGAACACTACGCGCATACCCTGCAGATATAGGCGGTTTAAACGAGCCGGTAAGTCACGCCACTCCGCTCCCCTAGTCAGACCAAACTTATGGAGATAACGTGGCGAGGAAGCCGCTAGAGAAATACTCTTTCCAATGGCATCGCTAAAACTGGGAAATGGTTCCTCACGCAAAAGCGTTGGCTGTTCCGATGTGGACCGATAATAGTGCAGATCACTTTGTGCCTCGAACATGTTAAAGAAACGCTCCTCATCGTTTAAGGCGCAGTAACTGAAATTTGTGTACGGCAGATCATAGAAACGCCAGGCCTTGTGCCAGCATCGGTCGCCATCTAGATTGGCCACAGGCTTAGCATTCCGATAAAGATCGCTACAGGGGGGAGAGAGTAATGGAAAAATTGTTTAAATGGTTTCTGAATGTAAGCATTTGCCTTTTAAATTGATATATTAAGTTTATTTTAATTAGAGGTAGAACATTCCCTCACTCTAAGCTATGTTCTTCTGTCTGTGCATTCGATATTAAAATTATTTATTATAAAATATTTTTTATAATAAGAATAAAAGACTTAAAGCAGGCCTAGGTTTCCTTATTCAATATTTATATCATTTGATTAGTCGCTATTGGATATATTCCGCGGTAAACATACGAAAGAATAACACAACGATGTTTCTAGAATTAATGGGTTATTTAGAAAAGAAATTCTAAGCCACCGGCCGTGAAAAACTCAGTAATATTACTATAACTGTAAGCTTGAGAATAAGCGTTTAGCTTCCATCTGGCACTACTACAGTTATCCGGAAAGCATCAGCAGACCAGCAGCATTTTCAAAACTATACATTCTTCTGGTTAAACCTAGGTTTTTTAAAATCTGCAGGCTATACCGCATTATCTAAAGACTATTACCAGCGAAACGCACTTTAGACTTCAAACTCAAGCACAATTGCAATTGTACATCTAAATAACCTAAATTATATAATATTAATAGTTAATTAAAGCTAAGGAAAATTATTTAAAATAAATGAAAAAAAGTAACAAACAAAAATGAATAATTGCAATGTTCCATCGTTAAATAAAACTAAATTAAATTAAACTGAATTAATTTAGAAATAATTATGCATAATAACTAAAATGTAATCTGATATTTGTTGGTTATTGTTATTTAACGCTAGGACAAGTTTATTAATAAATAAATAAAAATATCGCAGTCTCCGTAAACTATTATCATAATTTTCCTCTTCCACTTTAGCTTTTGAACTTACTTTTCGAGCTGCGGCATGCCCAACAGACAAAAAAAATAATTGTAATGTTCAATCGTTAAATAAAACTAAATTAAATTAAGCTGAATTAAATAAGAAATAACTAAAATGTAATCTGGTATTTGTTTGCTTTTATTATTGACCGCTAGGATAAGTTTATTAATAAAAAAAATATCATATAGCTCTTAAATTCCAAAAACTATTATCAAAATTTTCCTCAACACTTTAGCTTTTGAACTTACTCTTCGAGCTGAGTCATGCCGAACAGACAAAAATAATAATTGTAATTGTAAAATGAATAAAATAAGAAATAACTAAAATGTAATCTGGTATTTGTTGGCTTTTATTATTTAACGCTAGGATAAGTTTTTTAATAAATAAAAAAAAAAAAAAAATAAATAATAAAAATAAAAATATAGCTCTTAAATTCCAAAAACTATTATCAAAATTTTCCACAACACTTTAGCTTTTGAACTTACTCTTCGAGCTGCGGCATGCCCAGCTCCCTGTAATACTCAGCCACATGCCAGAAGACACGCATTGTGGTGTTCAGGTTTCGCTGCTGCAATGCCTCCGTAATATTCGGCAGACCCACATCTGGATAGGGCAAGTCCACAAACCACTCGGCCTTGACGCGTCGAAACGCATTGCCCAGGAATATTTCAGCCAAATGCTGTGGATAAGGCTTGCCCTTCGGCACCAATTGCTCGCCGTACATTTTGCGCAAAGAGCCACGCACATGGGCATGGAATTGCAGAAAGAGCGGCCGTAGTGCATCCATAAATCCATCCAGTAGGGCCATGGTTTCCCGGCCACTCAGCTCCAACGAGCGAAACCAATAGTCCTCGGCATGCGCATAGCCATTGAGCTGTGCCGTCTTCTTATACAGCTCCATAAAGGCAACAAATTGGGATCGGGTAGCCAGACCGGTGCATCGTCGCCACTCGAACCAATAATATTCGATCTCCTTCAGATTTTGACTCTCGTGCAGTATCTGCTGCACATCAGGTATTAGCTTGAGCGTACAATTCTGGGGCTGTCCGAAGGCACAAAGGTGCACATTGTGATAGTTTTCGCTCATATTTGAAGTCAAAGCATAGATATTTCGCAGTTCCTTTTCCGGCAACATCTCGTAACCCAATTGGGGAATTTTCTCAAGCTGCCTCCTCTGTACAGCATCACCCAGCTTTAGTCTTACGTACTTCTTTGCTCGCGGTGTGATGCTCTTCACATAGTTTATTAGCTTCTCATTCGCTATTTCGACTTGCAGCAGAGCTATCAGATCGTTGGGTCCTTGCAGCTCATTTCGTAACTCTCCCAACACCTCTTGATCGTAGGCAGCTGCAAGTTTGTCATTCGTCTCGTTTAAGAATGCCGCCAATGTGGCATCTGGCTCGGTGGCAGCCCGAGCTAAGCCTAAGCTTGCCTAATCAGAGAGAAACAAGTTTATGATTTATGGACTTTGCTCAATAAAAAATCATATCGAAAACTTAGCAACTTAAAAATAAGCTCTTTTAGTTTAGGAGCTGGAATTACTTGTTAGAATAGAGTCCACTTAACCTATTGCTGCGCTATTTGTTTCAACTAAAAATCATTTAGCCTTATCAACGTTTATTATGTAAGTGGAATAGTCTGAATAATTTCAACAGAATTTATTTTATAACTCGCCAATAATGCACCTGCGTGCTTATTCAGCTGAGTTTTTCTGACAGTTTTTATTTAACATTTTAATTTATTGCTTTTTGTTAATAATTTATTACCCCTCCCCAAATGCATAGCAAGCTACCAGTGGAAATATATATATAGTAGGTGATCGCATGTGCTCCACTATACAGCATTTTAGTGGGAACACTCCTCGCCACTTGATTAGGACACCCCTTATGTCTGTTTTCAATCGCCCATTGTTGCCAAGCCAAGCATCTAAAGACCTAATTTTTTTTAAAATTAAAGTTAATATACTTTGTGGATATTTCACGTTTCAAAATAAAATCTTCTTATTGTGGATGAATGTATTTCCGCCTGATCTTGACATTACTGCTTTCGGTTGACCCTTTCTTTCATTTTAAAGCTTTGTCAGTCTTACTTATAAATATCCACAACATATTGATGAAATAATACGAGTAAATTATTGGAGGGTCAGGTAACAATATGAAGATTCAACTAACACTGCCTAAATAATTAAAATAAAAACTATGCTATGTTTTAAGTTAGACTAGTTTTAGGTTAGACCAAATTACAGATACATCTCAAATTTTATTTAAATCGGTTGAGTAGCTTCGGAGTCTATCGATGACAAACCTTGTGCCACGAGATATAAATATATACATATATAATATGTAGAAGATATGTTTCTATGTTCGTCTAACATATCTATCTGGGTCTCTTCATTAAAGAACAATGCATTTTATACCCAAAGAGTGGTCTTTATATTAAACATTTCGTGGAACTCCTTTAATCCCTACCTAATATCAGACTTCAATTTTAACTAGTTATGAAAGTATACTGAAAAAAGGGGTATTTTTTAAACACCACTTACCAAAAGCAGCAATTTTTTCAACATTATTTACAAAAGGTTGCTCTATTAACAGCTTTTATGATCTCCCCAACACTTTCTACAAAAACAAGAAGAGCGCCACTTTACTTTCCCGTGCTTATTTAACATTCAACACGCGTTCTTAAAAAAACACAAGCAACGTTTTGTTTTTGCTTTCGATGCGCTCTTTGGCGCTGTCAATTGAAAAATCGTTCTGCGCATGCGCAGCGCACAACACCAACTGGTTGCTGGCCATGGCCGCAAGCGATTCGTTGGCTCTGTGCGCAATTTTATAATTACAAGTGTAATGTAGTCTAGTTGGAAGCCAGTTACAAATCGTAGCATGTTTTTTGTTTTAATACTGTTCTCTATATTTTCATATACGGGTATACGAGTACATGAAATGGTCGAGCTTTTGCCAAGTTTATTAAGCAAAAATTTAAAATTGCAACAGCTTTTGGAAATATATAAGAAAGTATTTATTTATCGGCTGCTGCTGCTGTAATCACCACACCATACTAAGACGAAACACACTCTGCAAGATAAGTGAATTAATTTAGTAAATCAAATCGTTAGAAAAGTATATTCGCAGTTCACTTACTATCGGATGCCGTCCAGCCAATGTGAACATTGTTCTTAATATTCTCGGCCTCGAGCCAGACGCGGAGCGGTTCAAAGTACTCGGCAATTGCCTTGCCGCTCATTACACGCTCGCCATTAAACGCTTCCAGTGCATCGGGCCATGGTTTTGAGGCGCCCAATGAGAGCATGTTACTACAAGTAATAAAGACAGAAATTTGTTAATTATCATAAATGCGTAGACAGATAATAAATCTAAAATACTAGCTAAAGAAATTAACTCTAATAATACTTGATTAACTGCAAACGATCAGAAGAAACACAAGACATTCAATAACAAGTGTCTAAGAAACATTTGCAAATTCTATTAACATCAGAAGACGACGATGGAGATGGATATAAACCGAACTGCATTAGAATAGAATCCTCAGGAAAGTAGAAGGAAAGGAAGGGCCTGAGAGGGAACTGTGCTTCCTGAATTGGATACCATTGGAAACATCACCTTTAAATAGAATTAGATTTCGTAGTTGGATTGAAATCTTATGCTTTTAAGTAACATGAATAAAGGAATAAAAAAAAAATTAAAAAAAGGACTCTTCTCTAAACTTTGCCAATAAGATAAAGCCAATTTGGTCACAGTTTGAGTTTCCTTTGCTCTGAAATTTCCAGAATATGAAATTCAATTAGAAAAGATTAGCATTCTTGGTCATGCTGTAGAAGGCAGATTTCGGATTGGGTCCAATAATTGGGTTGGCGAGTAGAACTCTTTAATATAACCTTACAGGAGTGGAATATGCTGTTTAAGCGATGGGAATGAATGATTTTCTGTAATTTCTTGGAAACTGATTTGTTTCCAAATCAACGGCAGCTGCTCAGGTCGGCAAGTTCTTATATTTACATATTTTAACTAAAGGCATACAACGATTGCTTTTAGATTTGAATATCTATGAAAATAACAAGTGTGAAATCGGTGCTATATCGGTGTTATATCTATGTATATCTACTCGCCTTCTTTAAAAGTTGATCTTAACAGAAGACAAAGAGAATATCTTTACCATATTTCAATATCTTTATCTTTGATGCTTAAGTAAGCCAAGTCCTACCCGCTATTGATAACTATTGAAGGGGCTTTATAAGCCTTTCTTTAAGAGATATTTCAATATTTTTATCTTTGATGCTTAAGTAAGCCAATTGATAACTATTGAACGGCCTTTTGAAGGCTTTCTTTAAGAAATCTAACACACACATATGTACTTCTTATATATATATTATATTATATTATTCCTAAAAACCCATCCATTTCTTTTTTTTCATATCATACTCACTGGAAAGCTTCACCAGCTGCCGCACTGCCATAGATATCGCAATTATCCAAGGGTAGCTCTGGATTTGTGGGATCATACTGTCCGGCCTTGATGCAAGCAGACTTATAGAACTGGAACTGTATGATGAAGGACACCAAATATCTGCACAGAATCCAAGAAGTTACTTAAATAAAGATAAGAGAGCAAATCGTAATGCTTAGGCTCACCTCAAGTACTCAACATCAGCGGACACATGATACTTGGCTGGCGCATCGAAATCCTTTTCTGTGCGCACTACTGGCGGCTCAATGCCCGAATAGTCTTCACGCAGCTTCCAGAAAGCACAATTCCACTTATCCTTCTCGACATCTCCGCGGAACAACGACCAACGATACTTGTCCATGGTGAAGGCAAACGGCAGGAACACAATCTTATCGAGAGCGGTCAGGAAGAGTTGATTGATGCGAGCCTCATCATCGCGCACATAGTCCTTCAACAGACCGACTTTCTGCAAGTGCTTGGGCGTGGACACGGACAAAGCGAGGACATCACCGACAGCCTCGTGGAAGCCGGGATTGGCGCCAGTGCGGTAGACAAATGGCAAATGCTGATACTGCAGGAAATACTGAATGTGTCCCAGCTCGTGGTGAACAGTGAAGAGCTGGTCCTGGGTGACGCGAGTGCACTGCTTGATGCGCACATCATCCTTGAGATAAAAGTCCCAAGCACTGGCGTGGCAAATCAAGTCGCGACCATCCGTGGGTTTCTCAATAATAGACTTATCCCAGAAGTCCCTGAAAATAGAAACGTGGAGCAACAAAACATGACACTCTGTAAGCTTCGCTACTTACTGTGGCAACTTGGTCAGATTCATGGAGGTGAAGAAATCATCGCCCATCTGGAACATTTTCAAGGGAGTGATGCCCTGATTGACCATCTCGTTGGTCACATCGACTAGGGGCTTATCGGGGAAAGGCGAGACAATGTCCGCAATTTCGGACCACTGTTGCGCCCACATGTTGCCCAAAAGGTGCATGGGAATGGGACCCTTCTCGGAGACCACCTTGTCGCCATAGTGTTGCAACAGGCGCCAGCGCACGTAGCCATGCACCTGATCGTAGAGTGGACGAATCTCGGCGAAAATGTCATCCAATTGCTGCTCAAAGGTCTCATCTTCATACTCATCCAGCCACAGTTCAGCGCCCGACGTGAAATCTAAACACAAATACCTTTAAAAGCTGTTCCATTTATATAGTAGATTATGGCACTATCTTACTGTTCAGCTTGGCCGCCTTGGTATTCAGCTCCACGTAACGTTCGAAAGGTGTGCGCACTGCTGTGCCCGCCTTATCGTAGAATTGCTGCCAATAATACTTGAGTTCCTCAGCATCGCGACTCTTGCTAATGATTTCCTCAATCTCCGGATCCAAAGCCAAATCGCATTTCGTGTTGTCCTTGTAATCACAGATTTTCACTTTAGCGAAATTCGACTCCATAGTGGACATGATCTCCAGAAATTCGGCATAGTCCGCCTCGGGCAGAGCAGCGTAACCCAATTTGGAGAGGGCCTTGAACTGGCGACGCAAATCGTCTGACTGATATGTCCGCCAGTTGAACTTTTGTATATCGCTGGACACTTCCTTCATGAACTTGGCCACCTCGGCGGAAATCTCATTCTTCTTCTTCTCATTCTCATCATTTATATTGGAGGCGTATGCCCAGGAGGCCTCTGTTTCAATATTGGTGCGCTTGGCAATCTCCTTATTCAGATTTTCCAAATACTCTTTGGCCTGGATCTCCTCCTTGACAACGGCGTGAGCGAGCTGTGAACAATATAGAATGATATTATCATATATCATATATTGTATATTTTAGATTCAACTCAACTTACCGCCAACGTAGCCAGCAAGGCTACCAGAAACAATTTCATGTCGCCAAAACTTTTTCACTAGAATGAAAAGCAATAATTTTGAATTTAGAACATAATGTTTCGACTGAAAATACTCAGATGCTGCCAAGCAGCTTAACAGTTCTTATAGAATTTGCAGATCAGAATAATCAGAATCAGATTTTGCGATATTGCATAATTTCCAATTAAATGTGTTCATTTTTATTTAATTAAAATTAAAAGAATCTCTGTATGTGCTTTTGATGAGATTTACTCAACAGTTACAGAAATTAAATGCGATTCAAACTTTTTTGAAATTTTGATAACTAATCGTATATTTTTACAATTTTTATATAACTAACAATTAGAAACTGTAAACAAATAAAACCAAATAAATGACAATTAGTTTCTATGGCTATCATAAAAGAAATTCATATAAATTGTGGGCTCAGTTCAAATACAAATGAAACAAAATTTTAATAATACTATATATCGAAAAGAAACAACAAAAAAATGATCGTAAGTTTTCCGAATTTTTTCAATTAAAAAAAATTTGAACTTTCAAACCAGCTCTGCTACCAAATATTCATTCCAACTTATGGCTTCAGTTTTCAATATATCTTTTAGTAAATTTAAATTAAATTCTGATTTAAAAGAAAAACATTTTGTTTGTTTTTCTGCTCTTTTATAATTATTTTCAAATAATTAATCAAAATATCCCATAGGTACGAGGTTAGAAAACCCCCACACAAAGCTCAGAGATTGGCAGGCAATGCCCAGTTTAATGTTTACTTTTAATTTGCGAACGTATTCGCTCAACTATACCTATAGTATGTATCTCTCCAAATTGATTTTAATGATACGCAACGTATCAGTTTCTTAAAAAAAACATCTTATCAAATAAAAAGTTCGCACACAATCGGCTTGGGGTTCAAATGGCTAGACCTCCACTTTGTTCTCTTCTAAATTTAGAAAGGAATTGCAAATCAATTTATTAATTACCCTTTTTGACACACAACACATTATTTAATTAACTGAAATACGAGTTTACAACGCGTATATACTAGATATTCCAAAAATATATCATTTTTAATTATCTTTTTTATCAAACATCATGACTTACATAACACTCCGGTTCACACTTTTGTTCGATAGGTTTCTAATTTGTAACAACTTTGATTAGAACTCATTAAACTTGTAAGATGGCACAACTTGATTATTTTCGCAAAAAAAATAAAGAAAAAAGCTATCAGAAATCGGTTGAAAAAATTCCATTGCGAAAAGAGAAAAAGTACAAGTTGGAATAATGACTATACTTGCTTTCCTACAATAGTAGTCAGAGTTATAGAAACATGCCTAAGTATTATAAGTATATACTCCGATTTCTTTTTCCATATGAATTGGAAAAAAAACTTGTGTTTGATTGAATTATTTGAAAAACCACAAAACTTACAGTATTATTTGTTTAGATCTAGATCTGACAGCAAATATTAGGCTAAGCAATAATTAAAAATTCAAGGGAACAAAAGAGAGTGGTTATTATTATAATTATGTGTTTTTATGGTGATGTTTTTTTTATCATTGCTTTTTATTTGTAGCTATAATTTTAATTCTTAATAATTGTTAACTGCTTGTCAGCTTTAAACAAAAACCATTTCGAAGCTCCATTATTATTTGAACACTGGATAAGCTTAAATGTTTTTTATATTCTCTGGAAATATGCGACCACTCACGAGAACTAGTTAGGCATATACTCACTTATCTATATGCACATCTTTATATCTAAAGCAATTACGTTGCCCTTTTTTCCAAGGGTCATAAATAAACAGCTTGTATATCGATTAAGATTAGAGGCAGACGCGATAAGAACTGCCTGCTCACTACTGTATAAGGATAGAAGGTATGGTCATATCTTTAGAGTGCCTTTTACGACATGGTCTATAAACATGACTGTGCAATGAAACTATTGCCTGCACTTCGGGTACACTTACTTGTAGTACTATGGTATAATACATGTGGCAGATAAGATTTAGAAAGTGAATTGAATTTCATAGAAAAACTAATGGAACGCACATTATCAGCTGGACATACATACAGATGTATATTGGATTAGGGTTTATCTCCAGCACGGCGATATGCCTATAGATTTATGGCAGCCTATACCTATGTATATGTATTATAAATTAATATGTTCAACGCGTTGTGCAAAAAACAAAAATTCAATGCTATAAATATCTGTATTTGAAATTCGTTTTCATTAAGCCGACCGCTAAATTGGCTGAGCAATTAGTTCAAGACCAAAGTAACTTGCACGTCAAACAAATTCGAAAGACCGTAAAAACTCAAACACAATTATTGCTTTATTTAATTAAGCATTGCATTTATCTGCAAGATATCTTCTCTCTTTAGGAGCAACGACTTATAGAATTAACTATAGTATAAAATATATACATATATATGTATCTAAAACTTACGTGCCGATTGAAAATAAATTGAACGTTTCAGCTATCGACGCGATCGAATCGAGCCTGCGTGCGTCGCAAGCGAATCGAAACTGAAATTGTTTGAATGTCAATGCTTCAGTTTTATAGCTCGTCAGAGGGCTCTGAGCAGGCAGTATCGAACGCGACGTGACCAGAGACTTGCTAATCGGCCACTTCTCTCAACGGACGCAGAGAGACAATACCAGAAAGAAGAAACAAAAAAAAAGAGTGCACGTGCGAGAGGGAGAGAGAGATGGGGTAATGGCAGGCAAGTAGCAAACAGATACGGAGCATTATTTATTGTTATGACTGGCCAGATTTAAGCCCGGGCTGGACTGGACTGGACCGGACCCAGTGCCTGGCCAGCTGGTGCCTCATTAGGTATGCCTGACACATTTCTTTGCCTAAATTAAAACTCAATATGCAAAAATATTGAAAAAGAAAGCAACAAAATGATAATTTTTGCGCCCTGTATTTCATAAAGGGGTATACGAGAACGTTAAAAAGAATCTAAGCTCGGTTCATAGATCCGTCTGTTTGCATCTACAGTCGCTAAAACTTTGTTTTTCCATGCTTTTAATTTAGACATCTTTATACCTTTAGCTATAAAAATATGATTATTTGTTTATATTATGATATGATACGAGTTTTTTTAGTGCTTCTTTAAAACTGACTTGCTTATTAATTTTACTTTTAATTAAAAATAATTTAAGTCTATTGTTTATTTATACTCTAACAGATTATTTTTACTTATCCAATAAATATATGCATTTATTTGAAATTGCAACTGTACTTAATATCGGTTTATAACTACAATAAATATAAAAAAATTGTTCGCTATTTTTTAAAAATATTCAAATTTTATACTTTTTAATAAGAGAATAATAAAAATCAGTTAATCTAAAGCAGCCTGCAGAGTATTTCAAAGTCGAGCTTCACATTTACACACGTTTTAACATTAATTATGAAATTGCCACTTGGTAGCGAACAATGAATGAGCAATCAGTTAGTTCCCTATATATTCTACCTCTTACTTGCTAATTTCCTTCAAAGGTTCTGGTCATAGTATGTGCAATGACCGCACTTGATAATGAACTGAGGTAAGTATTGTTCAAACAGAGCCCATATCTGTAATCAAACAAAACAAATTCCTAAGATTTCCAACTCTTCTCAGAAATTGCTTACCAACAAGCTGAAGGCTAAGAACCAACGATATCATCAGTTGTAGGCAACTAGCCATCTATTTATATTTCGCTATATCTGCAAATACAGATTATCTTTCAGAATTCCTTGAAATAAACAAGAATTTTATGAATATCAGCATCTTATCGTGTGTTCATCATTTTATAACTTTTTTTAATGAACAATAATATTTAAAATTTTATAAGAGCGTACGATATTATTACTATGTTAAGGTAAAGCTTTACTACGATAAAATTATAAATTAATAATACTTATATATTATTAATTTTTGTTGAAATTGGTGTTGAAACAATTTAAAATCTTTATCAGCAATCAGACAAATTTTTAAATACTATATATCTCATTATATCTATTATATTTCTAAAAAAAAGTGTTGCTAAAGAATTTGGTTTATACAGATGTCATCGAAATTATTTTGTACTGCATAAGCACAGCTATTTTAATTGTTTCGTTAAACCATTAACAATACAATAAAGGTGCTTGCTTGAAATTAAAAATCATTGTTGAATTAAATGGCATTTTAAGTTTTTTTTAAAGCAAATTCTGATTTCCGGATTTCAGACGAAACGTGCCCAGCTTATTTTATATTTAGTAGCTATTATTTTAAATGTATTTGCGTCAACCGTTAACGGTTACGCAACGACGCTAACTTGACGTTTGTTAAGGCAGTTTACCAACACTGAACAATGTTTGAATCCATACACGTTCAAGCAGCTGCGCTGAGATTTATTTCTTTTAAGTTATCAAACAGGCGAAAACAATTTTCAATACGTTACGCATTGAGTTTTATGCAGTTTGTAAATGTTATATTATGGATTCTCCAACCTTTGCACAGTGAACTAGTTTGTGCATGATACGAGTACTTATCGATAACACGGGACGTGCGCGGCCTGACCGTGCAGTGCGTCAGTGTTAACAAAGAAGGGAAAAACAACGCAACGTGAACTGTGGAACATTAAACAATATAAAAACTGATAAAGGTAATGCAAATGCCATATAAGTCTGCCATTTTGGCGATTAAAACGAACGCAGTCAGGCGACAACTTAATTTAAGCAAAAACTGTGTCCAGTGCGTAGAATTGAAGGGAAAATCAAAACGCTAAAGAAACCTTGCATGGAAAATGCCAGAGCAGGCCCGCGCAGCAACAACAACGGCGAGAAAAAGAAACGGCAAGACCAGTTCAATTGATTATTCAATAACACGAAAATATACAATACAACCAAAGAACCATGCGCGCGTATGTATGGGTGGAATATTAACAACAAAACAATAAAACGCAATACAAACTAAAAAAAAAACAACTTGCAGACTGTTCGTCATAAAAAAACCCAAAAAAGCTGAAATTCTCGAAACAGCTGTAAGATGGTTACGTTGTTGTTGTTTTTGTTATTTAAGGGTGCTACAAAAATATGTAAACAAAGTTTACATTGCATTGTTGCTTTATATTTGTATTTAATTTTTATTTTACACTATCTACATCTCCCTATATGTATGTATATATTTTTTAGTCTCGATTGAGCGCCATGGAGACAACACTGAGTTCTGGGGGCTCGAACGCCTCCAGCGAATGCGCTGTTGACGGGGGCGGTGGTTTGGGTCGCAATAATTGCCTGGACGCTGCTCTATGCGGCATAGCCAACAACAATGGCCACGGCAATGCCAGCCTGAGTCAAGAGGTGAAGGATTTGTATCGGTAAGTGCGGATAGAAATTTTCGGAGCACATTTAACTTAACTTCCCTTCCACCCTTACAGCTCCCTCTATACCGCCTCTAAGCAGCTGGACGATGCCAAACGGAATGTGCAGAGCATTGGACAACTATTCCAACATGACATTGAGGAGAAACGCGCCACTCTGGTGCAGCTGTGCAGACAAATCATTTTTAAGGACTATCAGTCCGTGGGCAAGAAGGTGCGTGAGGTAATGTGGCGTCGCGGCTACTATGAGTTCATTGCCTATGTGAAAAAGCATTGGCACAAGCAGGGCGCAGATGCCAACATCGTCAAGGAAAACATGCAGAAACTGGAACGCTTTCTGTGCGCGGGCATTTACAACTACAAGCGATTGTCGGCCAAAATGGAGGAAATCTACGACTTGGATTTAAAATACCTCATTGATTTCTCTATCATCAGCGAAGGCTACATTGACGACTTGATTGTCGAGTCGGCTTGCCATGAACAGTCCGCTCATACGCAAGCCGTGGACAAAAGCTTGGAAGCGGTGTCCTTTGCCTTGGACACCATACACTCATCGCTTTTGAGTCTAGGCGACTTGCATCGCTATTTTCTGGACTTTCGCATTGACAGCCAGCTGAGCATTAATAAGCAGCAAGTAGCTAAATACTATTTGGAAGCCTTTAAGCTAAACCCTGCAATCGGCATGGCCCAAAATCAGCTGGGCACTCTGTATTACGGTCAGAACTTTGATTTGGACTCAACGTACCACTATCTCTACTCGCTCGTGTGCATCATACCCTTCGAGCTAAGTGAGAATAATTTGAACAAACTTTTTGCCAAGCATACGGAGTATTTGGAGAAAATGGATCCGGCCAAACTGGACTTCAATATAGAGGATTTCTATGCCCGTTTCTATCTGATTGTAGACATTTTCTTTTTCGACAAGGAAGTGCCCGACTTCAATTCGCTTTGTCATTGTGTGCTCATTGATTTGCGCAAAATTCTCTGCTCACAGCAGCTGCATGTGAGCGAGGCGAGCGTCTTTAAGATCATCTCCATTCTATTCTTTTGCCTATCAAAGCTGAAGATGATCAATTCACCTAAAGTGTATTCTCTCCATGCCTTTCTGGTGGCCGCCTGTTCGGATTTAATGGACGCCTGCATTGTCAATATTGAGCAAACCATTTTGGCCAAGGCATCCGAGAATGAAAAATTCCAGGCGGTCTACGAGGAAAAATTCGTAGAGTTCGACACGCTGGTGCGCAAATCACGCAACGAGTATAAGAATTGGCTGGCCGCTGTAGGGGAGTGCGAGCGCAAGGATAAAAAGCTATTGGCGAAGCCGCATTCTCTCAAAGATTTCTCATCGGATTCGCGTGAGAGCCAGCACTCTGTAGATGACAATTGCCTGAAGAATCAAGAAGCTGCAGATGGTGACAAACATAACGCTGGCGAGCCCATCTCAACCCGTTCCAGCGATGAGGCCAAAGAGAGCGATCTGAAGACTCCTTTGTCCTGCAAGAGCAAGAAACGTGGCATGCGTTTGCGCAGACGACGACGCAAGATTGCGCAATCTGATGACAGCTCTTGTTATGACAGCGAAAGCGACATGGACACCGATTTTTACACTGACGAAGAGGACTACACCGACCTCAGCTCAAATTTTGATACAGACTTCAGTGACATTGAAGTTGCCGAACGCGGTGGCGGGGGCGACGAGCAATACGATGCCGGTACGTAGAAATTGTTAAATGCACAGCAGTGTAAGCTGTCTGGCTGAAATAATTATTTGATTGGCTATTTCAGATGATTATAACAAGAACGGTGAGCGTCAACGCAGGGCTGCCGAGCGTCTTTTGGCTGGGGCCAAGCTTGCAGTTCCAACTCCTGCTACAGCTGGCATATCGATGAATGCCAACTCGAATTATTCGGACAGCGAAGATGTCGTCATTGAGGAGGAGAAAATAGTTTATCCCGAAGAAGTGCTGGAGAAGCGACCCAACTCGCAGGAGATTGATTCCGAGGAGCTGTTGCGCAGTTTTGAGGTGCTGCAGTTGCATGCCAATGGCAGTGGCACGCTCAATTTTAAGAGCACTGAGGACGCTACAAGCGAGCAACCAGATGCAAACTTTTTGCCGCCTGTCAACTGCTCCGAACCACCCAAGAAACTCGTCTATCGCAACAAGTACACTAAGATAAATCCCAATATCATCATTGATTGCCTGCACAATGAGCCCACAATACGCGCACTGAAAATGCTCTTCGATTGGCTGCGTATCAACCCAGAAATTCTCATTGGCTGCTATCACTCGAATCCAGAGTTTGTGCACAAGATAATGAAGCTGCTGAATTATTGCAACATTGACATTTTCACGCGTAAAGTGTTCTTTGAACGTGAGCTACTAAACACGCCGAATGTGCGTGAGGCACTCGTCGAGCTCTTCGATGTGCGCGCCAATGTACCACTTAGTGAGGACTTCGCCTTCAAGAACTTTGATATTTTCCAAAGCACACAAATCACACTGGATTGGGAGACCATCATACGGGAGCGGGTAACGCCGCAGGAGGAGTCTATCTTGCGCATCTTCAAAATGGTCGATTTTGGTTTCTTCATCTGCAAGCAGAAAAAGTTTAATTATCGGTTCTGCGTGAAGACACGTCGCTTCACCGAGAACCAAAAGAAAAAGCGCGAGGAGAAGAAGGGCTGCTCATCGCAGCGACGTCGTGAACGACGCACAGCTCCCAAGGCCACACGCAAACGTAACGAGGGACGCACTCGCCGCTACTCGGATCGCAAGAATGGCATCGTTCGCAAAAGCTATACCAGCAATGAAGAGAAGGATACCGTGGAGGAGTGCCGCAAATTGCCACGCAAGGGCTACCTGCGCAATCGCAACGCCGAGAAGGCGGCTGCAGTTATAACTAGCGCCACAGGCACTGGTGGTGGCGCCTCTGCCGCTGGTGGCACTTCAGCCTCAACCACCACAAACAGCGTTATTGAGAAGTTAAATGTGCAGTCCAGCAGCGGAGCTGATGAGGAACGTTCCGAGGCCATGTCCAAGAAATGCGAAATAATGGGCAAATTGTGGCTACAAAACGAGGTGGAAACTTTGGAAGAAGAGGTAGGTTTTTTGTATTTACACAGAAGTTTATTCTATTTACATGCAATTCTCATTTCCCTTAGCTGCGTGACAGCACCGCCAATGTGGTCATGACGCCATTTGTGGTGGTCGATGCCAAGGCTCTGACTGAATACAATGGCATTGTCAAGTCCCTAGTTAGAACCAAGAAGTGCATCGTGCTCATTCCCAATGCGGGTAAGCATCTTAAAAATACAGATCATTAAATTGGTTAAGTTAAAGAATTTCTTTTGTTTTCTGTTCTAATATTATTTACATTGTTTGTTGCAGTGTTCAACGAGCTGGACGATTTGAAGAAGCGCAGCGAAAATGTGCGCCATGTGATTCGTTGGCTGGAGCAGGAGTTCAAGCACGGCAATCGCCATTTGCGCGCTCAACGCGACAATGAAAGTCAACCATTGTCCTTGTTGAAGGTCTCCCGCAAGATGGGTAAGTTGTTTAAGAAGCTTATTAGGCACCTCCTAATCTTTTATTCGTTTGCAATTGTCTTCAGATCGCGACGCCTCATCCTTTTTGCAAATTGCACAGTTCTGCAATCATTTGGTAGCCAATCATGCCGATCCCCATGTGAGCGAGTTTCAAAAGAACGTCGTTACCTATTTGTCGGGCGATAACTTGCACGAGAAGAATCGTCAGCAACAGAACTTTAGCTATACAGGCATACTGGACTCCATACCCGTGCGCTACGATCAGATTGCCAGTTTCTATGCCAAATTCAAGGCCAACAAAAAATGAGTGAGGCTCGTAAAAAACTAGGCAAAATGGATGCAAGCGTGTGTGTGTGTGTTCTCTCTGTATACAAACGACATGGAGTTCCCAAGTTAACGAAGTTTCTCAAGCAATCGATGCCAGAGCGATTGTCGCAAAATTTTGTCGTCGCCGCGGCGAAAAATACAGCAGCAGCAGGTGGTAAATAAAAAGGCGATCGCAGCAACAGAGGTTGGTTAACAGACACACAACAACAACCAAATCAACGTAAACTATGCAGAAAACCATTAGGACTACAATTCTAACGACAACAGAGGTGGGTGGCAGCGTTTGCAACAAAGCTTGTTGTGTTAGACCAAAAAACAAACAAAAACAACAAAAAACACACATAACTAAAAGAATATGCAGGAAAAAATTCACTTTCAATTCAATGGCAATGATCATATCGACCTACAGCTAATGTAAATGGACAAACGGCCTTATTACCAATGGACAAAAGAAAAAATCTAAGAAAAAAATCTAAAAAAAAACCTTAAAAAATGAGTTACTTTTCAAATCCAAACTATCCCCCGTACATGCGTGTTCCACATTCGGACGCATGTAGCATCGAAGGCGACGCAGTTGCAAGGGCGAGAACATCTTGGGAGGCGGAGGAGCAGCAGGAGGAGGAGGAGGATGGGGTTGGCAGATGAAAACAACATGCAGCAATCAACTTTTAGTCTTCGAGTGCCGCTCATGAAGATCAGTGCTCGGAATCACGTTCATTTGCCAAACGGCTGAATGCTTTTAAGGACCTCTAGACAGCATCTGCCGTTGTTATTTGGCAGCGCTCTTCATAGCCATACAGCCCTACATTATGCACCACTATTTCTCTGATACAAACTGCACAATTTCGAACTTAGCTCAAAAAAACAGCAATAACAATGCTCCTACCTTTTTCATGCCTTATTGATTTCAAACTTTCGAACACGATTTCCGTTACATGCAAGGTCCATACTTGTTTGCGCGCAATTCTTTATTTTTTAACAAAATTGAATAATACAACAAAAAAAACAGAAAGAAAGAGAATTCTTTTAAACCGCTTCACTATATAAATCATATATAACAACAACAGTACTATATAATAAAAAAAATGTTGGGCAGATTCCATCACATAATTGGTCAGTCAAGTAGTGCACACAAAAGAAGCTCATCACGTTTAATGAAATTTTCAACAATTTATTTACAACAAGCTACAACTGTATCATCATCATTCAAGAAAACGCATATTATATTAATACATATATGTAACATTTTGTTCAAGAAATAATATCAATAAAGTGCCCAACTAAAAAAACAAACTCTTAAAAGTGGTTTTTAGCAGCAGATTTAGAAAAGGGGTCAATTGTTTACCTGGTTCATAAATACTTCTGATTTCTTATTTAAATAATTCTGAATTAGAGGCATTCATATTCCCTAATAGGAGTAATTGATCAAAAACAATTTGTAATACTACAACTTCGTCAGTTATTTTTTATTATTTTTAATTTTCTGTAATTATTCTACACATATGTACAGAGTATTTCAAGGTCGGGTAGTTTTTAAATTGTTAGAATGGCTCACCATAATCTAAAGCTCTGTCATATTAATTAAATGGTATTATAAAGCCGTCATAAACATAGTTTATTGACTTCCCGGTAATAATATTGTATTGATAGGTAGTCCAAGTATAAAAGCTCGAATATGGCGAAATATTCTCATTGTTTTGTTAACATTCTCCAGACAAGTTTCAGAAAATGTATTATTCTCCCATTTGTCGGGTAACATTTAATTGAATATTTCCAAAAATAAAAGCATTAGGCTTACCGAGTGAACTTTTTAGCTGCCAATGTGGTCCCCAGAACGCAAGTCCACCAAATAGACGGTATACCGAATGGGATCCCAGTGGATATTGCACCTTTTAAGAAAATCGGCGACAAGTACTACTTTATTGAAACTGGTGTTAAGCTGAATTGGTTTGGTACAGAGCACAGAGGGGCACAGGGGGTCATCTGTTGCATTTGGAGTCCGAGACGATATAACAGATCTGTGGCTGAGCAGCAATTATGTTTCGACTACCACGGGCCAAAACGCACCATTTTTAAATTGGCATCCAAATGAACCGAATAATCATGGCGGCAACGAACATTGTGTTACTGTGTGGAGTACCACCTTCTTGATGAATGATGATCTGTGCTCAACAAACTTTAATTTTGTCTGCGAAACAAATAGCCCACGTAGTGTGTCAGTAGTGGTTTGGTAAAAAAAAAAGACAAAATTATCAGAGCTTCTGGTAAAATAGTTCAGAAACTAATCAACTTATTTTGGAATAATAATTAGGAATTTGTAGCAAAAGCCGATATATTAGAAGCCTATTGGCTGATCTACTACCCCTAATTCTGTTTTCACACGGTTTAAAAATTGTATACATGGTTACACGACATTATTCCAATAAGCACGATTTCAAATAACATATGATCAATGTGTTTTATTCACGGTTTTTTGGGATAATATCACATACCTGAACGATTTTTTTGGCTTTCAGCGACAAAAATAAATACTAACCCATGAAAAAGTCCTTTTGGCCAATTTAAACGATTGCTATCCAAACCTTTTTAAAAAAAATATCGCTTTGCAATAAAATATATTTTATTTTTTACATTTTGATTGATGTGACGTTGAAATAAATATAAATTCTAATACATCAGTGGAATCAGTAGAACACAGTTTTTTCTGGAACCAATCTACCATGTAAAATCAGAATTAGGTGTACATATTTTTGTTTTAAAAAAAACAAACACTTCGTAAATAATTAATAAACATACCAGATATGCTCGCAAATCGTTGATTGATTTTATTGACTTTACATCAATTAGATGCCGTTGGGCTTCTAATACATCGGTTTTTGCAATCAATGCCTAATTATTGACGTTAGTTCATTAGTTAGTTAACTGTTTTACCAAAGGCCCTGTTATCTTTACCAAACAACTACTGAAACCGTACGTGGGCTATTTTTTTCGCAGATAAAATGTAAAGGTTGTTTGCAATTATAATCATTCATTGAGTGGTTGGTATCCCACAAGTGAATACAATGTTCGTTGCCACCATAATTATTCGGCTCATTTGGAAGCCATTTTAAAAATGTTGCTTTTAGGCCTGTGGTAGTCGAAACATAATTGCCGCTCTGCCCCAGATCGGTTATATCCGTCCAATAATAATGCCGACCCGTCATATGTTGTTCAATGGCCTTTAGCTCCGCCTCGGACTCCAAATGCAACAGATGGCCACCTAGTTGGTGACATTTATGGTCTGCTTCAAACCAATTTAGCGCAACGCCTTCTTCAATAAAGTAGTACTTGTCGCCGATTTTCTTAAAAGGTGCAATATCCACTGGGATCCCATTCGGTATACCGTCTCTTACGTGGACTTGCGTTTTGGGTATCACATTGGCAGCTAAAAAGTTCACTAGGTAAGCCTAATGCTTTTGTTTTCTGAAATATTCAAGTAAATGTTACCCGACAAATGGGAGAGTGTGCTGCAGAGTACCAATATTGTTATTGAATAATAATACAAGTACATGTTTTGGAACTAGTCTGGAGAAAGTTAAGAAAACAATGAATGCAATATTGCAATTTGCGGACTCTTATAGTGTTGTCAAGCTAATAACCATATATGGATGTGTGCATTTATTATCTTTATGAGCGCCGCCATTGACAAATCTGTTTGCAGTTGTTAAGATTGAAGTTGATTGATTGTTGTCCAAACCATTAAAGTCAAAAGTGAATGCAAAACAAGTGGAGAAGCTCAAGTCGGCTGTCCCAACTCTGAAATACTCTGTATATAGTTGTAGAACATTTGCAGAAGTTCATAAAAATTAAGTTAATCAACAAAATGAAACAAACTTGCACAGCGCACACACATAAGGCATCTTTGTGAAAATTTGGAGTCTCTAGCTCTTATAGTCTCTGAGTAACCTACAAATTTTATTTTATTTTCATAATTTCCAGAATTTGTTAACTCTTACTTCGCCATCGCTATTTATTTGAATGAGACGCTTCTGGGATCCGCGAGTCCATTTAAAATAGACGGTACAACCGGGACTCCATAACCGTAAACATCGCCTGATAATGCACAGCATCCTCGTTGTAATCGGCACAGTACTTTTGATAAGCGTCGACCGGACCACTACAACATAACGCTTACGATTCAGGGGATAAATGTTTCCACATCCATTGCCTTCCATGCCAAAAACCTAAAACTGTAGATCTGCAAAACGCGATTTACTTATGATTGGTATTTAACCAATAAATAAACTAGTTTTTCTTTAAATACCAGAAGAGTTGTTTCTCCACTAAGAGCAATAGAACTGAGTTCTCGACTCTACAGCTCTTCGGCTAACGCCCAACAAATGAATGCGTAATGCGAAACCTTCACCTTATTGCATACACTTTTTATGTTTATTAATCTTTCAGTGTGCATGCATCAGCGAAAATACTAATAGAAATAAAAGAAGTTGTTGGGGGCTTTTTCATGCGTATAAACACGCTCTTATTAACCCTGAAACAGTCGATAGGGCACAATTGCCCCATTTGCAGGTAAAAAAGGAACTATCAAGGTTTCTGGTTTTTTATTACAAACCATTTTGTTCCTTTATTTGTCAAATTGTTTGTCGAAATTTTATGTTGGTATGCTTGTATTATATATTTAAAGGTGGGATGTGGACTTTTGATGCTGAAGTGGCTTCGCTTAGGTGCCTCGTATGAGAAGCGCAGAGGAGGGCCGTCTTTTGAATTTCATTTAAAATAATTATTATTTATTTGATTTTCTGGATTTTTGATGCTGACGTGGCTTTGCTTAGGTGCCTCGTATGAGAAGCGCAGGGGAGGGCAGTCTTTTGAATTTAATTTAAAATAATTATTATTTATTTATTTATTTGATTTTCTGCATTTTTGATGCTTCAGTGGCTTTGCTTAGGTGCCTCGTATGAGAAGCGCAGAGGAGGGCAGTTTTTTGAATTTAATTTAAAATAATTATTATTTATTTATTTATTTGATTTTCTGCATTTTTGATGCTGAAGTGGCTTCGCTTAGGTGCCTCGTATGAGAAGCGCAGAGGAGGGCAGTCTTTTGAATTTAATTTAAAATAATTATTATTTATTTATTTATTTGATTTTCTGCATTTTTGATGCTTCAGTGGCTTCGCTTAGGTGCCTCGTATGAGAAGCGCAGAGGAGGGCAGTTTTTTGAATTTAATTTAAAATAATTATTATTTATTTATTTATTTGATTTCTTTGGCTTATGATGCATACGTGGCTTCGCTCCGTGTCTCGTATGAGAGGCGTAGAGGAGGGCAGTCTTTTGAATTTAATTTAAAATAATTATAATTTATTTATTTATTTGATTTTCTGGATTTTTGATGCTGACGTGGCTTTGCTTAGGTGCCTCGTATGAGAAGCGCAGGGGAGGGCAGTCTTTTGAATTTAATTTAAAATAATTATTATTTATTTATTTGATTTTCTGCATTTTTGGTGCTGACGTGGCTTTGCTTAGGTGCCTCGTATGAGAAGCGCAGAGGAGGGCAGTCTTTTGAATTTAATTTAAAATAATTATTATTTATTTATTTGATTTTCTGGATTTGTGATGGTGACGTGGCTTTGCTTAGGTGCCTCGTATGAGAAGCGCAGAGGAGGGCCGTCTTTTGAATTGAATTTAAAATAATTATTATTTATTTATTTATTTGATTTTCTGCATTTTTGATGCTGACGTGGCTTCGCTTAGGTGTCTCGTATGAGAAGCGCAGAGGAGGGCAGTCTTTTGAATTTAAAATAATTATTATTTATTTATTTGATTTTCTGCATTTTTGATGCTGACGTGGCTTTGCTTAGGTGCCTCGTATGAGAAGCGCAGAGGAGGGCAGTCTTTTGAATTTAATTTAAAATAATTATTATTTATTTATTTATTTGATTTTCTGCATTTTTGATGCTGAAGTGGCTTCGCTTAGGTGCCTCGTATGAGAAGCGCAGAGGAGGGCAGTTTTTTGAATTGAATTTAAAATAATTATTATTTATTTATTTATTTGATTTTCTGCATTTTTGATGCTTCAGTGGCTTCGCTTAGGTGCCTCGTATGAGAAGCGCAGAGGAGGGCAGTTTTTTGAATTTAATTTAAAATAATTATTATTTATTTATTTATTTGATTTTCTGCATTTTTGATGCTTCAGTGGCTTCACTTAGGTGCCTCGTATGAGAAGCGCAGAGGAGGGCAGTTTTTTGAATTTAATTTAAAATAATTATTATTTATTTATTTATTTGATTTCTTTGGCTTATGATGCATACGTGGCTTCGCTCCGTGTCTCGTATGAGAGGCGTAGAGGAGGGCAGTCTTTTGAATTTAATTTAAAATAATTATTATTTATTTGATTTTCTGCATTTTTGATGCTGACGTGGCTTCGCTTAGGTGCCTCGTATGAGAAGCGCAGAATTTAATTTAAAATAATTATTACTTATTTATTTACACTATAAAAACCGATATTTATTTTCACAGATCGGTGCTTCGAATGCTATTGAAATGAAAGAAGACTGATTTCAAATAAAAAGTTTTATAGATTTTTATTGAAGTTTTCTTGTGTGATTTTTTGTGTGCTGCTTTTTTTTTCATTCAATTAGATTGGTTTTTTTTGTCACGCGTTACATTATCGCTTCATTTTTTTCTGGCTTGCCGTATTAATCGTACAAATAGCTGACACATCGACTCAGTGTTCGCGGGTGTATACATATAGGGTGTATATAGATTTATAACTATGTTGTATAAATTGTTTGAAATACTTTCAAGTGGTGCTACATACATACGAGTACACTGTATATCGATCCATTCGTATATACTTCATAAATTGTGTATATAAATTTCTATTTTTTTTAGTACAAATTACAGCATTACTTTAATCAGTTTTGTGTCCAACAAATATTGTATTTAGATTTGATGCTTTCTATTTAGGTTTTACTGTAGATTTTGGTTCTTCCTCATCATAAACTACATTTTAAGCGTGTTTTAACCGATTCGATTATCAAGCAATTTCAACTATGAATATATATATAAGTATAAGTTCATGTTTTTGGCTTTAATCTTAGATTCCCTTTGTTTAGTACGTATATGTATGTATGTGTATATATTAGAGTGTATATAATGTATATATAATCTGTTACTTTTTCAATGTAGTCTTTTGCATAAGAACTTGCATTTAAAACAATAATTTCTCTGCTTCTTTCTTCAATCAATCAATTAACGTGCTGAGGTCTTTCGAGTAACGCAAACAAAAACTAACATTAATAGGAGAGCTAATAAAAAACATAAAACATATGGTAATCGTCTAATCTAAAACCTGCGAGCACAATTTAAAACAAAGCAACTAAAGCAACATTAATACAAAATAATAAATTATATGCAATAACTAATGAGAGCTGAGATTACAACAGACTGTACAGAGAGACTTAGGGGCTAAGCGTATTAATAATTGTAGAATTAATTTAATTTAAAAATCATAAATAAAACTACTGTGAATTCCATTTCAATTCTTGCCAAACAGTAAACTTAATTAATTTGCACACACAATTATTCAAATACATTTTCCAATACAGATGCTATACAAGAATTTCTTTCACACTCGATGCGCGCCACAATTTAAACTAATTTCGCATTAAAAATTACACACAAATAACAAATAAAATATTTCACATTTACATACAAATATTACGCGTATTAAATTAATTTTCCTCCCATTCTTTAAAATAATTCAACTACATTTTTTCCATTTTCCCTTTAGCAAGTCGTGTTTAAATCACGCCCGACACGGACTTCTCGTACGGCGTGCCGAGTGTGTCGCGTCTGCGCGGCAGCGTGCCGCTGGCTGTCAGCGGCGCCGACTCCGGACAGCCGAGACCGACGAGCAGCTCGACCAGCGCCGTCGTATCCTCCACATTGTATTGGGGAGCAGGTATGCCGCCATTGGCGGGCGTCGACGACGGCGTCGGCTGCGGCGCTGCAGCTGCGCCCGACTGTGCGGCTGCCTTCAGCAACTTGGCCGTGGCCAGGGATTGGGCAGCCCGCGCATAAGCCAGACAGGTGCGGCCCTCGTGATCCGTGTGTCTAATGTTGGCCCCATTCTGCAAAATAGAGGATTCCATTTAGTTGAATATTCAGCTTAGAGCTCAACCAACCATTAACTCACCCAGACGAGCAGCTGTGCAATGGCCAGATTGCCGATGGCACAGGCCAAGAGCAGGGGCGTCCGCACATCCCGAGCACTCACATTCGCATTTGTCACCTCAGTGTGGGTGCAGTTGGCCAGTATGGAAACAATGGACTTTATGTCCGCTCTGTTGGCAAAACAAAAATAAGAAAAAAGTTCTTGAGTTTCGATAAGAATTACAATTTCTGACTAGTGTAGGCTGTCTGCATTAATTTCAGAGTCGCAGCTCCAAATTATAAGTCGCTTAGAGTGTGTTGTTTTATAATTAAGGCATATTCGTATACTTTTCTTGAATTCCTTTGAGTGGTATTGTTTCCCCATTTCCCCATTTTGAGACAAATTGTTGAAAATGAATACGAATAGCATTTTCACCAGGAACATAAAAGTTGCGAGACCACTGGAGTTAATTCTACGCTAGCAAGCGATATGACACGATCGCATTTCTTAAATTCCTTTTATTGGTATTGTTTACCTATTTCCCCAATTTGGAGACAAATTGTTAAAAATGAATTCGAATGCTCTTGGCACTAGAAATATGTGCGTTACAAGATCACGAGTTCATTATACTATATTGTAGGCTAAACAACTAAAGATTAAATATAGACCAAGCTAGATAACCTGAACTCTTTATTGTTAATTAATTATAGAGACACACAAATTTATGAGCCAGTTTTTGTGAATAAACGAAATGAAATAATATGAACTTAATCTCTGGATTCTTTTTCTATATCTTACCTTATGACCGCCTCAATCAGTTGCTGCCCGGGCGTATGTGTATGTGTATTGCACAGTGGGGCCAAGAATTCCTTCGCCTCGTATTTGCTGCGTATCCAGCACTCCTTCTCCTCGCGACTGGACTGAGCTGTGGGCTTGACACGCTGTCGCGTATTCGACTCCCAAACAGAGTTGGCCAAACTATTGCCAATGGCCAGCATGACGCTGAGATGGGGGGCACTGCAAAGTGTTAAGTTAGGCGTTAAAATGGGTCTTCTCTAGATAGAATGTATTGCTACTTACGACCAATCGTCCAGGCCCAGAGAGCGCACTTTCGATATGTGGGAGCCCAGGTTGCGATGTATGCCCGAGCATTCGATGCACATGAGCACGCCGAGATTAAGACTCGCCCATTCAGGATCTGTGGAATTACAATTTCGATTGTTAGTGGAATAAAATAAATAAACTCTTCACAGTCTATATGGATGATGGATTGGATTTAAGAGTATCTAGAGATTTGTTTGTCACTTACTTGGCGCTCCACAATCGACACAGTTGCCATTGCCTGGCACTTGTGTTCGTATAGCCAGCATGGCCGCCAGTTCGGTGCTCGTAGCGGGCTTCATTTTGCTGCTCTCGATGCTCTGGAGACTCTTAAAGATCTCCTGCTCTATGGCCGCGACCCACTCGTCACGCTCCTCCGAATTCGCGGCCTCGAAGTGCCACTGCTTCGAGTCCAGAGAGACAATGTAGAACTCATAGCCATCGTTGTCGTCGGCCTCGTTGGCCTTCACGATGCTGCTCTTGTTGCGGCGATGTCGCTTCTTCACATTCGGGGTTTGTGCATCCAGCTTGTTATTGGTCGAGGGTGCGGCCAGCAGTTCGATGCGTTCGCTGCCCGCTATGAAGGTCTGGGAATTGGAATTGGACATGGCTATGCCTTCATCCCCACTAGTCTGCTGTGAGGAGTTGGATTTGACGGGCTCGCCCGCGACAGAAACAGCTCCAGCGCCAGCCCCACCCGCACCCTTGAGCGTATCGAAAGCGGCGGTGAGGGAGAGTTTCTCCGTGAGCTTGCGTTGGTTGTCCTTGGCCAGCGTGAGGTATCCAATGCCCTCGCTCAGGGCCGCCTGCGACTTGCCATTGGCCAGCAGCGATGTGGTCAGCGCACTGTTCGTTATGATGGATTTGGAACCGCGTGGCTTCTGACCCGGCACCTTGACCGTCACACACTGCAAGGGAATCTCCTTGCCGTGCACATCGTCCATGTAGTCGTGGAGTGAGGGATGGTAGGTGAGACGCCCATCATCACAGAGGGTTACGTATTTTTTCTTCCACTCCTTGTTCAGCGACTTGCTGGAGCGCTTGTACAAATATCCCTGCTTGATGGGTATGGAGCGTCCACTGCCCAGTTCCCCATTCGCCTTCTGCTCCTTGTCGTTCTTCTTCGAGGAGCTGGGTATGAACAGATTGCTGCGTCGACGACTCTTGCGACTGGTGGTGGGGGTCGAGTTGGGCGTCGGTAGTTCCTTGCCTGGCGGCGGCGCCAGGTCCCGAGGATCACGCAACGTCACTAGAAAACTGTCATTCTGCTGTTGTTGTTGTTGTTGTTGTTGCTGCTGCTGCGATTGTTGTTGCTGCTGTTGGGATTGCTGCGACTGTTGCTGCTGCTGCTGCTGTTGGGTCGGATTATATTTGGTAATGTTGTTGTTCTCGTTCGTGGGCTGCATGGACCACAGCTTCTGCTCCGCATTCACGAAGTCCGCGCTCATGCGCAGTGGAATGTGTTGTGTGGACGCCGACAGTCCGTGCTGACGCGGTGGCAGCGACAAATTGCTGCCGGCCACACCACCACTACCACCATTGGCTGCCGTGGACACATTGCTGCCACTGCCGCTGCTGCTGCTGCTATGCTGATAGGAGGCTATGCCCAGTCGAGTTCCTTGCGGCGTCGTTGGCCGCGGCTGCACGGCGGCCGGCAACGGCAAACGTTGCGACAATATCTTCTGACAAGCTGGACGAAGGACGCAGGGAGAGAGGGAGGCAGAAAGTTCATTAGAATCTAATTGCAGAAAAGAGTTGTGCAGAGGGTTTTGGCTTACCGTCCTGGAACACACGCTCCACATTCAGGCCATAGGTGGCACAGGTTTCGTAGTACGAGCAACGTTTCAAATCATTTGCCAATTTGCGGGCACGCGTATCGTCGATAACCCTAGGATTGCGTTCGCTGATTGCATCTGCGGGGTAGGAGGGGGAAAATATAAAATATTTGTTGGTTATGCTAGCCTCAAGAAATTATTTATTATTTATTTATTTATGCCAACAAACAGTGACTGTCGACATAGGAAATATATAGAAATTATAAAAGCATTCATGGACCGTGTAGAAATTTGTACTAATCTTCAAATCAAAAATGTATATAAAACAATCGTTTTCGTTTATTTTATTTAAAGGAAAACATTTCCTGAGCAAAATATGAAGATTTGCAAATGCAATATTCCAAATAATAAGCAATTATTTTCAAAATAGTTTCATTTTCTAAATACATTGTTTTTATAGTTTCAAGAATATTTTGAAGTAATTGACTTCTTTTTAGGGAAATAATGTATTTGGTTTAATTCTTTTATTTTAAATAGGCATACGTTCACAATTAAACAATTTCCTAGACAAGCAATTTCTCATTAAAAAGTGATTTATTTAAAAACTACAAGCAAATCGCCATTTTCCTAAGACAAGAATATTTTTAATATGTAAAAATAGATTTGAAAACTTCAAAAATTTGATAAATCGAATTAAGAAATGTTTTAAGCTTCAATAACTCCTCCAAAAAATAGAAAATAAAATTAGTTTCGAATTTACGCTGTGGAGACAGTTTTAGAATCTCTGAAAGCTTACTCTCTCTCATAATAATATGAAACTATTTGAAACAAAAGAATTCAACACTAATAATAACAAAAGCTGAATTTATGTTTGTAAAAATTAAAAAAGAAAAACACTTAACCTTTATGAAAAATCGGGATATAAAATAAAAATAATTAAAATATAATTGATATAAAAAATAATTTCAAATATTTGCAATGCCTGTATGTATTTATATAGATATACAAGAGATTTCAATATAATTGGTGTTATCTAAGATTTAGGGCAACATTCTTCAATTCTAACAACAACACTTACCTTGCGTGCCAACCAAAATCATGGGTATGTCCTGTCCATTGCGAAAATGCGCCATTTTCGTATAATAATTGTAGACGGTATTGAAACTGCCCTCGTTCTCCAAACTGAAAACGAATATGACCGCATCCACCCAGCCAGCGAACTGTAAAGAAACCAAACACAACAGATGAGTTAAAAGGGTCCCAGATATGGTTAGGTATAGGATCTGAAAGCTAAGGGCTAACAAATTGCATGTTTTATGAACGAAAACAAAGCGCAAAATCTTGATGAAAGCGACGACGGGACGACGAGATGCAGGCAGCAACTAAAAATATCAAAAAACAACAAATAATAAGAAAAGCCAAGCCAAACAAAAACTTTGCCAGCGAGTCCTTGACTTTGTGAGGTTAAGCATGACCAGAAGGCGGGCAGAGTTTTAAGTAAACAACAACAGCAATAACAAAATGCGTCTGTCGAAGCGCACAAAAAGCGGAAGCAACAAAACAATAGCCACACACACACATGTATACTCACACACACATGCACACCTAAGCGCACACACTTGAGAAAGTCGCTAATGAAGCACTTCAATCCTTGCCCGAGGATTTTTTTCTTTTTTCACTTCTGCTCTTTGCCGTGTGCTAAACTTTTTTTTAAATGAATTCTTGTATTCCTTTTTGCTTCATGCATGCACTTGGCGACGCAATGGCGGCCTACACACACACACACACACACACGCACACACATACACTTCAACATATACATGACAAAAAGGATAATGAACTTTGGCATGGCATGTAAACAGAAAACACACACACACACACATACATACAAATGCTTATAAACAAGCTCTTTGCTCTTGTCTAGTGCGCAGGCCTATTGATTGATTGTCGGAGGCCGTAAATTATTTTACCGTTCAATTAATTATGCATTAATGACTCCTTTTTTTCCACTCCTATCCACACACACCTACACGCTTGTCGATCAATTTTTTATGTAATAGAAATTAAAGCCTTCTCCGTTTGTTTAATGCTTCTTTTTATTTTTTAAACTTTTTGTTTTGAGCACAGAGCGCAAAGCTGCCACACGCAACGCCAGTCGGCTAACAACTGTCCTTGTCGTCCTGGCGTTGTTGGTTGGCGTCGCCAGCCTCGTTGCCGTGTGCATTATGCGGTGGGTGGTTCAGTAGTCGGTGGTTCGATGGTTCGCCAGAGGGGGGGACTGCTTCGTTCTCGTCCTCATCCTCGTTGTCGCCGTTGCCGTCATTGCCGCTTTTTATGATTTGTTGTGAAAATGTATGCAGAGAAACAGGAAAACGAAGTCAGACACACAGACACAGACGCACACACACACACACACACACACACTCACCCACATACATACTCGTACAATAAAAAGCAAAAAAAGCTTTATCAAATGCTGCATGGCGACGACAAGGACGAGAATGGTAACGGAACAGGAGACACACACAACACTGCATACGAGTAGTCCGCACACACACACACACACACACACACACACACACACCGGCCATACAAAAACAATTGTCGCGCTGTGTACTGTGCAGGGCAAGCGAATAGAAATAGAAACTAAAAAACAGGAGAAAATCAAGCACACATCTTTGTATAAAGACGACAAAAAGAAAGCGATGAGTGCTGACTAACGAGGATATCTACGAAGATATTTATCTGTTCATCAGTCTATCTTTGACTGAACGCAAGTATCTTGACAAATCAAAGAGCTGCATTCACCAAACTTGGTATTTAGAACCCGTCTATAAAAATTCACGTGAATGGGAATAAGCAATGGTCCATATACAATTATGAAAAGGATCCTTTAAATATGCTTAAAAAGTGATTTAGAATATAAATTAGTATAATATATTAGTACCTAATAATACAGTTTGTGTTTAAATTAAAATGTAGGTATTTATTTGTTTAAAGTCCCAATAAAATAGGCTCCCTTAGAACAAATTTAGACGTTTTAAAAAACCCTAACTACAAGTATTTCCCTCAAATACCATCCAGCAAATACTGGCCCTACAAGAAAGTTTGAAACTTCCTCATTCATTTAATTTTTAGAAAGTCATTTAGAAAACTCGTATAATGCTTCTATAATCATGAGCCGCACTGTTTTTCAACAGAAGGAAGAGGAAAAAATCGTTCAACAGCACTGCTTACATATTCACATGCAATATTGTCATCGTCCTTTGCTCGTATACTCGTATGGTAATGATATCCTACTGCCGGGAAATAAAAGGCGCGCAATGCGCGACTGCCTGGCGACGCTGCCAACTTAGACGTCGACGTCGACATCGTTGTTGTTGTTGCTATTGCTATTGCTATTACCATTGAGTGATTTCATCCAAAGTCTTTTAGTTGCTCTTATTGTTGTCGTTCTTCTTGCTTTCGGAAAACACTGTGTTTTTCCACAGTTGTTTTTTCTTTTTTGTTGTTTTTCCCAAAGGAAGTTGACTGCCTGCTGCCTGCTGCCTTCGCTCTTCTTCATTTGTTTTGGTGGTGGGTGGCAGAGTCGTCGTCACCCACTCACCCAGGAACAGAAAATGGGGGTTATTTTTATTGAAATATGGTTTATTATGTTGCATAAAGTTGCGAATGGCAGCAGTCAGCAAAGAAAGTGACATAAAATTAGTTAAATCGGCGACGCACTTTATTGAAAGATTTCTGAATTGGAAAATATTACAACTGTGGCAGTTACAGTTGCTTTTTTTTGGAAGGGAGGGGGAGACGGTTGTGTGTGCGGCCAAGCGAGAGTGATGGACAGGGTTGACGTCACAGTTTGTCATGCACTGACATTAGCACAATATTATTATGCCATTTCATGGCATTTGTGGGTTTTTGTGTGCAGTCAGACACAGGATATGCAGTTAAGCCGACACTGATGGTAATATCGAACATTTACGAGTATGAAAGGGATTTCAAATTGTAACATTTAAGGGGGAAATAATGTTCGATTTATTAATTAAATAATGCAACTCTCAAACTATGATCTCTAATACATAAAACCTATTTTAATTGCACTTCCAATATGACTTTAAGCAGCAATTACTGTGCAAACAACAGTAACTCCTAAACTGTACAAGCGCAACTGTTACTTTTACATTCTGCTGTTAACGCAACTGTTATTGCACAGCATCCGAATGCTTGCAAAACCGCAGAAGCCGCTGTCAAACTGTCAAACATTTACAGCTGCGCTGTAAGTTTTCCCTTCAAACAAATTAGGTCAATCACATGCTTGACTTGCAAAAATGCCGCTGTCTAATTACAAAAATAAAATAAATTGAAGTTATTTAAATGAAAATCGCTAACAACAAGCGACGTTTGTGTTTAGCTGAGCCAGAAATATTCGGGATTATACTTGTACTTATGGTGAGGGCCGTCCGCGTCGCGTGTCTGGCACATTTTTTTAATTTTTGTCTGACGCAACCCTAACCCTACATGCCCTGCCCTGCCCTGCCCCGCCACACCCCCTTCTAGCTCTAGCTCTAGCGCGTGTGCAAATAGAACCGCAAATAAAAAAAAGCGAAAGTAGCTTAAAAATTATAATCCACACTTTCACCCTTTAAGCTGGGGGTTATGCCAAAGGACGAACGAACGGATCCTGCGGCGGCGCTTCCGGCAGGCGGTGCTTGGGATTTTCCATGTCAAATAATGAAAAGTGAGAGCCTGCGGGTTAGGCTCATGTGCAAATACGGCAATAGCGAAAAAAAAATTTGCACAATTCTAGAAATCAAAAGCGTATGACGAACAAAAGCTTCGAATCAATGAGTCAAAAATGTTTTTTAAAAAGGGACTAAATGTAAATATCCCGCTGTAAGTTCGCTTTAATTACGTGTATGTATTGACAATAGGGATTTAAAATGCATTTGTTGTTGACTGCAACAAAAGCAAGGGAAAAATAAAAATTGCCAAGTGCAATGCTGAATTATTTTTGGACCAGGGGTTGGGATCAGGGATTCGGGGGTTGCTTTGCCATGGCCTGGCCTGACCTGTCTGCCATCTCATGTAATCAGCCAAGTTCCACTAACACTAACACTAACTATGTGTGCTTCAACTTTAACCTTTTGTGGACTCGATACAATCAAAATGTATTGCCTACTTATTGGCGCTCAGCCAACAAACTGGCAAACAGGCAAACATATTGTGCCAGTCGGCCGCTCTTACTAAATGCCACATCACGTTTTGTCATAACGGTAAACAGACATTGGCTAGACAACAACTAAATATGTATATACTCCACACAAACAGCGTGGCAGTAAGTATGTATGTGTGTATGTGTGTGAGGCATCTTCATTGCGACAAAAGTTGCCTTTTTTGCTGCTCTCCCAACCCGCTTGGCTTGCCAAAGGTCGTAGCTCGATTGAGTGACTCAGACCCAGAGCCGCAGCCCCGTGCAGTGTGTCCGCCACTTGGCGGAGAAGTTTGGCACAAGTTTCAAACTTTCGATCTACAGTGCAAAAAAAAGACGATACCAGGGAATGGGGGATTTGTTAATTAAGCTATAAAGCGGTATATAATAAAAGTTTGTCAATAGGCTGATTGAAATGCGCACTCATAGTCCCAAAGATGTGCTGATTGGAAAATGGCAAAAAGCTATTTTATTGCCAATTTGAGGGGTTTTTCCAACAACATCATTGTATGCGCCCATTTTTCGCTCTTAAAATGTCAAACTATCTTGTATGGTCGATTCTGCTGCATAATAATAAAACAAAAATGTTTTGAAATAAAAAAAAATAAATATATAAAAACATATAACAGAATATAAACAAATATTTAAATAAAATATAAAGAAAATAAAATAAAAACACATTTTGTGTGAATTTTCACACATTTCCATAGAATTTTCGAAGCCAGAAAGAATTTAATATGATGATGTGTTCCCTTAATAGCTTTGTCCGTCTTTTATACCCATTTGAGAGTTGAATTATTCAAGTTGTGTCGAATAAATTCAAATTCTCAGCCTTTAGTTCATTTCGTTAGTCATTTAGGGGGTCAGTCACAGCTAACTAAACAATTGCCTGTCTGGTTCTGACAGTAGCTTTAATGAGTTACAGCCTTCAATTTGTTTTGCTAAACTTACGCCTAAATTCTTGTGCACTATCATCGCACTTTATTAGATATCGACTTTTTCCCAGTGTATCTGAAAAATAAAAAAACTTGTTCAACAATCAGCAGCGCACCGTAATTCGTCGTTCCAACCCCGAAAAGAAAAACTGCTGCCACTGCTGCTGCTGATGTAAGTTTCCACGGCTCTAAGTCAAATGCTCGAGCAGCAGGAATGAAACCTTAGTCCCTTACCCACTCTGCCCAATGCCTGAGTGCTGGCTGACCTCAATTCAAATATTTACAAGATGATAAGGGCAAAATGTATTTGGAAACAGAGGAAAACTTTTTCTACCTTTTGCTACACAGGCCGGTAAAGTTTGTTTACCCTCGGAGCAGGAGTGGATATTATGCAAGTACAAGCAATACATCATTTCTACATTTCCCCTTCAATTTCATGCATATTTGATTGACTACTCGGGGGGTGTTATACAATCTCTCTCACACCCAACATTAAAGTTGACTCACCTGCATTTCTGGCGCGCCGCCTTCGTCGCGTATCAGAAGCAAATAGCTCTGGCCATCGATAAAGACTTCCTTCTTGAAGCGACCACCCTCGGGCGATTCCTCTTGCATATAGGAACCGGTTAGATAACGATGCACCAATGCCGATTTGCCAGAATTCAGAGATCCAACAATGCCCAGACGCAGATCGGGCACCGAACGCGAAATTGTCCATTCCTGGCTGTTCACAAATGAATCTGCAAGAGAGAAAAAAAAATCAAATTATCATTAACAATCATCTCATTTGGCAAACTAGTTCACTAGCATAATAAGCCCGATAACCAGTTTACCCCGACAAGACTATATGGCATCCTTTGACCTACAAGCGACAACATGTTGCTGCCAAAAGTTTAATTTTTTTTCTTATATTTTGTTTGCCTCCATTCATCATTAGTTATTCTTCTTATGCAAATGATTGTGCTCCTGTAGAGCGAGTACATCATCAACAACGGTGGCAGCTTTGATTGACAGCTTTAATGTTAAATAAATGTTACCGAAGCGTCTTTCATTCCCGCATTTTTCTTATTTCGGTAATTGTTTCGTCTGTCTGGCTTTTTATATCACATTTTTGTTGTTGCTTGGCAAAAGGTTTTAAATTGTCAGTTGGTCGAACACTTTTTGATTTAAATTAGCTCGTATGATATTGTTTCTTCAGCCAGTCAGTCAGTCAGTCAATCAGATTCATGATCTCTTGTGGCAGATGTCTGGGTCGCAATTTTCTTGCCACTTGGTAGGAATTCAAGGTCAGTTTTTGTGAGTGGAGCAACAGCAGCCATATGGCTGTAAATGGACCGCACTACCGTCTGTTCCCGTCTCGAGACCTTAATATATTTATGAACGGCCTAAGACAATCTCAGTAGAAATGGAGTTGTAGGAACTAACATAACAAATCATTTTGTAGACTTGCAGATCTTCGCATGCACATCGAATTAATCGTGTACGAATGCTGGAGAGCAACAACAACTGAACTGTAATTACAACTACAATGTTAATTACTGCAAGAGAGCATAGAATTAAATTATGTTGTGTTAACACCAATTCCAATGCTGGATAGCAACAACAACTGAACTGCAATTACAACTACAATGTTAATTACAGCAAGAGAGCATAGAATTACATTATGTTGTGTTACCACCAATTCCAATGCTGGAGAGCAAAAAAACTGAACTGCGCGGGTGGGCACAACTTCTTCTGCCCTAACACCGCAGCTGCATTTGCAGATCAGATGAGAGCAAGAGCGCTGCCATATTACAATGTTAATTGGAGCAAGAGAGCCGAATTACATTATGTTACGTTACAGAGATTTTTCATGAAAACGGCAAACAATATTTTACAAATTGAAGGCAAGCATTAATTCGCCGTGCCGCTACGCCAAACAGTCACCTTTCTAAGAAAAGCGCGAAAATAAAAAACTGATAGTATTCGATATGAGGAAATATGCTAGTAGCACTGTTCGATTTTAGAAAGTCTCCAAATTAACAAAGACCGTATCGTGGATGGGGACAACATTTCTCCAATAGAACTATGTAATGAGGAGTCACAAATTCATTTGGCTTAGCATCATATTGAATTATACAATCGGATATATGAGAGTAAGGCAATCATATAGAACGCAGTGGCATAAAGGAATTGTACAGGCAGTACATGTTTGCAATTTGAAAGCTAAGCCGAATATAATTTTTGTTCACTACTGTTAAATCATTTCAAAGGCGAACAGTAGCCCTGGACAATTGTTTGAACCCTCAATAAAAAAACACAAGCTGCATTTGACAAGGTGACACGTGTTTCTGCTTCTTTTTGAAGGTTAACCCATAAAAAGGAACACACAAATAACGACCTCAAATGGCCTAACAAATAGAAAGAAAGGCCTACTGATGACTTTATGGAGACTACTGTTGGCCACACAGCACTAAACGGTCATAAAATTTATGACAGGATAAGCCTTACTTTAATACTAACTGCTATCTTTTTTTTTTTGAGGTCCTGCTGGCACGCTTCAAGGAGATAAACAAGAAGAAGAACTTCAGCTGCCACAAAAACGCGTAGTTAAGGTGAAGAAATGCACATAAAAATTTGGCATGCCCGCTCAAAAAAAGAGAAGGAGAGAACGAGAGTAACGAAGGGCGTAGAGTTTGGAGTTCAAAGAGGTCAACAATAACAACAACTGTCAGTTACAATATCGTATGTACATTGGGAATACATATTTCCATATTGTGCGCTAATTAAAATGCTTAACCTCTATCAAAACGTAAATCCCATTGCTGATGCATTTTCTTGTCCTTCAATTTTTTTCTCTCACTCACTGTTCACAGCGTTTGTTTCGTAAATAGGCAAACAAATAAACAAGTCCAAACATTAAAAGACGGGCTGGGCTGGCCTGGGCTACCCCTTTTGGAATGGGAAATCTTTCCCGTAGAAGCCTCATGTGGGACAGTCGGAGCTCGTTTGCATACGTAATTAGTTTGGGAATCCTGACAACGATGGCGACATTTGACATGAGTTTGAGTTACGACGAAATAGAGAATATGGAAATAAATAAAGTGAGGTTAGATAGTGAATGGCAACCCTTTCTTTTCTTATCTCCAACACCTTGGTTTGAACTTCACACATAAGCCGATCTTCGGCAGACATTTGACATCATTAGTCAAACTTAGAGATAGCAGATACATTTGTTAGGTATTTGTTTCGGCTTGTTACTTTAAGCGCATTTTGTAGCCATTAATTACATTGCATTAGAGGCGAAGAAGTAATTTTTCAAAATCGTTCAAAACTTTGCTACAATTTGGTGCCGAAGCAGAAGAAGGAGAAGCTCTCGGGTAACCAGTTGTACGCCATATTTTATTTTATGGCCGTGCAAATTGCAAAACCGCGCTAATTTTTATTCCTCTTCCTCTTCTATTCAGCTCTGCTGCTCCTCTCCATCTTGCCATATCGTTTTCAATTTGTACAATTGAAATGCGCTTTTTATGTGTTTCTTTAGCTTTTTCTTATGGACAGAGCATTATATAATGCACAAAAGGCATATATTTATTTCGTTTTAATTTGTAATTTTGCGCTCTGGTCAGCAAGGTAAGTGGAAACCAGTTCAACTTGTTCCCAATATGCCACCACACAAAAAAGGAGCGACAGCGACCGCGGCCGCGTCCAGTCCAGCCCAGCACTTCAGTCCATTAACAAGCTCAAGAAACTTGTTCCCGGCAGCACCCTTGAGGACATAACATATCCAAAAACAACGCAAATAAAAAAACAAAAAAACGTACAACAAAATGTAGCGCACATATCCATGTCCATCTTCCAAGTCTCCGCTGTTTACTCAAGCAATGCTTAACAACTCATAATAGAGCAATTTTCACGTGTCCTTGCTGGCTAGTAAATCATCACGGCAACAGCAACAGCAACAACAACAACACCAGCAACTGGTCAGTTGTCAGCCATTGTCATTGTCACTCCTTTTGACTGGCAGGCCCTTAACAACAACAGCAACATCGCTGCCCGCTGGGTTGTACTTTGAAATTGATCGTGGCACTCAAGGTATACAAGTATAAGTACGCGTATAGTGTGTGGACGCATGCTAATGAATGCTCTTGGATTCTAGTGTTCTGCCCAAATACCTATAGGATGAACTCTGCTCGAGATTTATGTGGCATTTTTACGATTTTTTCTTGGTTTAACAGATGGTTACACTTGGCTGTGTGCACATTTTAAATACATCATTAGTGTGAATACAAATTAGCGATCTCTTATATAGCATTTATTTATTTATATTATGAATAGATTGTACTTTTCTTTAAATAAAAAAATGACAGATTGTTGCTGCACTGAGATAGCTTTAAATCCTTAGAATACTACAATAATAAAAAATATTCTATTACAAGTAATTTCTATAATCTATTTATATTGACCATATTGCAATTTTTAATGGATTTGATTTATTTAGGTGGGAAGTATTTGAGAGCATTACATAAAGAAACGATCTTGAAGGATAAGTAAAGTGTAGTTCCTTTTTTTTTAGCATATTAGTATTTTGAAAACAGACTATATTACATTTGGAAAAGGTTTTAAAGTAAGCCCAATGTACTTTTCTTTTTTATTTTTTTCTGACAAATAACTGTCAATTTAAAATATGGAAACATACAAAATGAATAATAATAATAATTCATACAAATTTAAAAAAAAAAAAAAAAGGAAAAACAAAATTATAAAAATTCTTTAAAAAGGAGTAGAGATTTAAAGTGCAACTATTAAAATATTTTAAAATTGTGTGGTTTTTAAACCAAACAATCGGCTGCGTAGAATATTTCTGCTATCAATTGCTTGAATGTCTTTCACAAGCGTGCTTTTATTAGTCAGACAGACACTTCATAACAGAATAATAACATAATCTATAGCTGCATCGAAGAACATTCATAGTTCATAATCCTAATTACAATAATGTTAAAAAGAATAATGTATATGAAGAATCAGACAGTCACGTTCTGTTAACCAAAGTTCTGTTAACCTTTGGAGATTTACGGAGACAATAATAATTGAGAAAACTGTTCACAGAAACGTCTAGCAGTTGCTTGTTGCTTGCTTTTATTTAGAAGTATTTGGTTTCCTTCTGATTCTCCTCTCTCCTCCGCGCTGCCTAACCGTTTTAATCATGTTTGTGCGATCGCCCTTTGCGCCTGCGCCTCGGGCTTTGCTAATTTTCTGGCCTTTGTTCGACACAAACACACACACACACACACACACACACACACACACAACTGTCTTGGCAACTACCGTTCCATTTTTGCTTACCTTTGCCACTACTTTTTGATCTCTTTTCACTGATCTTTCTACAAATACACGAAACACAACAAAAAGAAAGTAAATCAGATTTTGGAGCAGATGTGCATGCGCACGCCTGTCCTCTCTATCCGCTATCCTCAATCCTCTATAGGAAACGGAATGCTTGGCCAACGCCAACACCAACACCAACATCACAAGAATTGGAAGCAGCTTCCTCAGCAGCAGTTCAGTGGCTGATTTATTGTTGTTAGTGGACAACGAAGGCGACGGTCAGCCTACCTAAATATTGTTGTAGGCTTGCACAAACACAATACTCTGTACGTACGTGTATGTGTATGTATGTACACACATACATATATGTATATATGCAAATATCACACATAAATCACCACATGAGGCACAGTTGCTTCTGATCCCAAACGGG